CCATCTTACTCAGACCACCTTAACCCTAACCTTAACCATCTTACTCAGACCACCTTAACCCTAACCTTAACCATCTTACTCAGACCACCTTAACCCTAACCTTAACCATCTTACTCAGACCCACCTTAACCCTAACCTTAACCATCTTACTCAGACCCACCTTAACCCTAACCTTAACCATCTTACTCAGACCACCTTAACCCTAACCTTAACCATCTTACTCAGACCACCTTAACCCTAACCTTAACCATCTTACTCAGACCACCTTAACCCTAACCTTAACCATCTTACTCAGACCACCTTAACCCTAACCTTAACCATCTTACTCAGACCACCTTAACCCTAACCTAACCATCTTACTCAGACCACCTTAACCCTAACCTTAACCATCTTACTCAGACCACCTTAACCCTAACCTTAACCATCTTACTCAGACCACCTTAACCCTAACCTTAACCATCTTACTCAGACCACCTTAACCCTAACCTTAACCATCTTACTCAGACCACCTTAACCCTAACCTTAACCATCTTACTCAGACCACCTTAACCCTAACCTTAACCATCTTACTCAGACCACCTTAACCCTAACCTTAACCATCTTACTCAGACCACCTTAACCCTAACCTTAACCATCTTACTCAGACCCACCTTAACCCTAACCTTAACCATCTTACTCAGACCCACCTTAACCCTAGCCTTAACCATCTTACTCAGACCACCTTAACCCTAACCTTAACCATCTTACTCAGACCACCTTAACCATCTTACTCAGACCACCTTAACCCTAACCTTAACCATCTTACTCAGATGCCTAAAACTTAACCAGTCACCACTTAAGGACTTATTAACTGAACTTCCGGACGGATCCAGTAGCCACAATTCTGTTCTGGGTCGAAGATTTTTAAACATATATATATATATATATATATATATAATATATATATATAATTACACTGCAATAAGTACTGAAATATAAGTGAAAACAAGACCACCTTAAAACCAGATTCAGAACATATGGTTATTATCCACAGACTGTGTCAGAGGTGGGTCATTATGGAAGATTACTTACGGCCAACTGTACTTACAGACTGTGTGTGTACCTGTGTGTGTATGTACCTGTGTGTGTGTACCTGTGTATGTACCTGTGTGTGTGTGTACCTGTGTGTGTGTACCTGTGTATGTACCTATGTGTGTGTGTACCTGTGTGTGTGTACCTGTGTATGTACCTGTGTATGTACCTATGTGTGTACCTGTGTGTGTAAGTACCTGTGTATGTACCTGTGTGTGTGTATGTACCTGTGTATGTACCTATGTGTGTGTGTGTACCTGTGTGTGTAAGTACCTGTGTATGTACCTGTGTGTGTGTACCTGTGTGTGTAAGTACCTGTGTATGTACCTATGTGTGTGTGTGTGTGTACCTGTGTGTATGTACCTGTGTGTGTGTGTACCTGTGTGTGTATGTACCTGTGTGTGTGTACCTGTGTGTGTGTGTACCTGTGTGTGTAAGTACCTGTGTATGTACCTGTGTGTGTATGTACCTGTGTGTGTACCTGTGTGTGTAAGTACCTGTGTATGTACCTGTGTGTGTATGTACCTGTGTGTGTGTGTACCTGTGTGTGTATGTACCTGTGTGTGTACCTGTGTGTGTAAGTACCTGTGTATGTACCTGTGTGTGTATGTACCTGTGTGTGTATGTACCTGTGTGTGTGTGTACCTGTGTGTGTGTGTACCTGTGTGTGTATGTACCTGTGTGTGTATGTACCTGTGTATGATGTGTACCTGTGTGTGTATGTACCTGTGTGTGTACCTGTGTGTGTATGTACCTGTGTGTGTATGTACCTGTGTGTGTACCTGTGTGTGTAAGTACCTGTGTATGTACCTGTGTGTGTGTATGTACCTGTGTGTGTGTATGTACCTGTGTGTGTGTGTACCTGTGTGTGTATGTACCTGTGTGTGTACCTGTGTGTGTAAGTGCCTGTGTATGTACCTGTGTGTGTATGTACCTGTGTGTGTGTGTACCTGTGTGTGTATGTACCTATGTGTGTCTGTATGTACCTGTGTGTGTATGTACCTGTGTGTGTATGTACCTATGTGTGTCTGTATGTACCTGTGTGCATGTACCTGTGCTCCTCTGTTGCTGGTGTTTCTCTGTCCATGAAACAGACTCTAAATCTCACCACAGTCCTCTGCTAGACACTCTGCATCCTCCATTTTCTCCTCCCCCTGGGCCTCCTCTCCCTGGGCCTCCTCCTCCTGGGCCTCCTCTCCCTGGGCCTCCTCCTCCTGGGCCTCCTCTCCCTGGGCCTCCTCCTCCTGGGCCTCCTCCTGGATCCTTCCTGGTGTTATTTCTGCATACTCAGTCTCTGTGGCCTCCTGGGTGAGGGCCTCCTGGGGGAGGTCCTTCTTCCTCAGAGCAGAGAAGTCTATGTCTGAGTATTCCACCTCCTTTGCCCCTTGCTCCTCCTCTGCTCCTGCAGGAGTCTGGGAGGCCTGGTCCTTCTGTCCAGTCTGAAAAACAGTTTGGATGTTTTTTCTGCTGTTTCACTGCAGAGCTGCTCCTTTTGGACTAAAGTCTCTGTGTTTTTATCACTTCATATGTTGGAACAGATTCTCTGATCTGTGTAAAGTATTCTGATCTACTGTTTCTACTGCGATACATTGAATTAAATGTAATTGTTCTAATTGTGAAGAGAAAGAATTGAACAAAGATGAAAGACGAGGATCTAAGTCTTTCTGGAGGCTGAAGTTAAAAACAAACCAAGACCCGAGTTCTCTCTGGGACTCTCGGGGACTCTCGGGGACTCTCGGGGACTCTCGGGGACTCTCGGGGACTCTCGGGGACTCTCGGGGACTCTCTGGGACTCTCTCGGGGACTCTCAGGGACTCTCTGGGACTCTCGGGGACTCTCTGGGACTATCGGGGACTCTCGGGGACTCTCAGGGACTCTCTGGGACTCTCCGGGACTCTCTGGGACTCTCTCGGGGACTCTCAGGGACTCTCTGGGACTCTCGGGGACTCTCTGGGACTATCGGGGACTCTCGGGGACTCTCGGGGACTCTCCAGGGACTCTCCGGGACTCTCGGGGTATCTCCGGGACTCTCCGGGACTCTCCGGGACTCTCTGGGACTCTCCGGGACTCTCTGGGACTCTCCGGGACTTTCGGGACTCTCGGGGACTTTCGGGACTCTCGGGGACTCTCGGGGACTCTCGGGGACTCTCGGGGACTCTGGGGACTCTCTGGGACTCTCGGGGACTCTCGGGGACTCTGGGGACTCTGGGGACTCTCTGGGACTCTCTGGGACTCTCTGGGACTCTCGGGGACTCTCGGGGACTCTGGGGACTCTCTGGGACTCTCGGGGACTCTCGGGGACTCTGGGGACTCTCCGGGACTCTCTGGGACTCTCCGGGACTTTCGGGACTCTCGGGGACTTTCGGGACTCTCGGGGACTCTCGGGGACTCTCGGGGACTCTCGGGGACTCTGGGGACTCTCTGGGACTCTCGGGGACTCTGGGGACTCTGGGGACTCTGGGGACTCTCTGGGACTCTCTGGGACTCTCTGGGACTCTCTGGGACTCTCTGGGACTCTCTGGGACTCTCGGGGACTCTCGGGGACTCTCGGGGACTCTCGGGGACTCTCGGGGACTCTCGGGGACTCTGTGGGCGTCTCTGACTTTGAACTTACTTCTTTTACAGTTTCAGTGCTCACCAGCTCCAGAGTTTCAGACACATGTAGAGAACCCCTGCATCTGGAAAGAGATACAAACAAATAGAACTATACAAACATGTAGATAGATAAATGTAGATAGATACATATATATAGATACATATATATAGATAGATATATATAGATAGATACAGTAGATACAAAAATACGTTGAAATACAGAAGTAAAACAATATCATGATTTTCTGAGTTTTCTTGCCGACTACTGACATCTCCATTTGTTTATTTCAAAATATTAAGATCACGCTAAGATCACGCTAAGATCACGCTAAGATCACACTAAGATTACGCTAAGATCACACTAAGATCACGCTAAGATCACACTAAGATCACGCTAAGATCACGCTAAGATCACGCTAAGATTACACTAAAATCACGCTAAGATTACGCTAAGATCACACTAAGATTACACTATAATCATGCTAAGATCACGCTAAGGTCACACTAAGATCACGCTAAGATCACGCTAAGATCACGCTAAGATCACACTAAGATCACGCTAAGATCACGCTAAGATCACGCTAAGATCACGCTAAGATCACGCTAAGATCACGCTAAGATCACACTAAAGCCTGGTTCACACGAGACGATTTTAAAATTGTCAGCCGATTTTTCTCCGTGTTAGACCCCACACGGGGAGATTAAAAATCTTGCGTCTAACCACTTTGGTCGTGCAGTGTGTGGTGCGTAGCCACACGGCAAGATCACGCAAGCCACAAACATCACACACGAACCGACACCCCCCCCCCCCCGAGCATTCCCAGGTCAGACGGAAATCTCACAAAATCTCTCGAGATCAAGCGTGACTTCAGAGTAAACAGTCATGGCGGACGAAGAGGATGCAGTGGCGATAGTGTGCAGTTTGTTGTTAACAGAGAAGACACGTAATCCAAAGAAAAGGCAATGGTCAAAGCCATGCTGCTGTGTTTTGGTTTTTTTCCGGTGTTTCCTCACCGGCTTGTCACCTCGTCTTCTTATTGGCTACACGCCGTAGTCATGGCAACGCGCTCGCTTGTCCTCGGAGGACACCACACACGACAAGAAATCGGGCCAAAACAATCCAACATGTTGGATATCCCCGATTTGAGATCGGGAGCAGTCCCGATGTCCTTCCGAGCGACGAGTGCAGTCTTAACACACCACACACGGCAGGATAATCTGTAAGATTTTGTTACGGAAATCGGAGCGTTTCTTAAGATTGTCGTAAGGGGTAAATCGGGTCTAAATCGGCCTAAATATCCTGCCGTGTGAACCAGGCTTAAGATCACACTAAGATCACGCTAAGATCACACTAAGATCACACTAAGATCACGCTAAGATTACACTAAAATCACGCTAAGATTACGCTAAGATCACGCTAAGATCACGCTAAGATTACACTATAATCACGCTAAGATCACGCTAAGGTCACACTAAGATCACACTAAGATCACGCTAAGATCACACTAAGATCACACTAAGATCACGCTAAGATCACACTAAGATCACGCTAAGATTACACTAAAATCACGCTAAGATTACGCTAAGATCACGCTAAGATCACGCTAAGATTACACTATAATCACGCTAAGATCACGCTAAGGTCACACTAAGATCACACTAAGATCACGCTAAGATCACACTAAGATCACACTAAGATCACGCTAAGATCACACTAAGATCACGCTAAGATCACGCTAAGATCACACTAAAATCACGCTAAGATCATGCTAATGGTGCTTTCAGACCGGATCATGCGTTGCGTCGGGTTTCAAAGCAAAGTCTACGGTGGCGCGCGTTCGACCGTCACAACGCACGGACCTCTCGACACGAACGGACTGTTCAATAATGACGCACGGACTTGGCGGGAAAGTGAAAAGGGAGGAGCAGGAGCGAAAAATCAACGCCCACAGGAGATGGATTCCGCTCATCCTTTCCTTGGGACGTTCGTGCGACAACCAATCAGAGAGCAGCAAAGTGGTCACGGGGACATTAGCGGACTGAGCGAGCAGACTGAAAATACTGTAAACATCCAAAACAGGACCCACACCAGACTTCACCAGAACTCAAACCAGGGCTGACAATGGGGGACTCTGTGCTTGTGAAAATATGTGTTGTCATGCTCCTGTGACCTTATGCAACTGCTTCCAGTGTGTTCATACTACTGTTATATAAAGTCACCTCCGTGAACACATACTGCTGTTATATAAAGTCACCTCCGTGAACACATACTGCTGTTATATAAAGTCACCTCCGTGAACACATACTACTGTTATATAAAGTCACCTCCGTGAACACATACTGCTGTTATATAAAGTCACCTCCGTGAACACATACTGCTGTTATATAAAGTCACCTCCGTGAACACATACTGCTGTTATATAAAGCCAGTGGAAAGTCTCTGTTCAAAGACTCGCTGCAAAGCTGCATATTGGAGAAGATCTGTGCACAAGAAGCCGCTAGCATAGCTCTGTTAGCATCAGAGCCGGCCGGCTACTTCCGGCTCTTCCGACTCGCGTCAGGACGTTCTGGTGTGAAGTCCTCTGCGTCTGAAAACTAGAGAACGCGCGTCTGGTGAGCGGGGCTTCAGCGTTTCAGCGTTGGCGGTGTGAAAGCCCCGTAAGATCACGCCAAGATCCCGCCAAGATCACGCCAAGATCCCACTAAGATCACACTAAGATCCCACTAAGATCCCACTAAGATCACACTAAGATCCCACTAAGATCACACTAAGATCACACTAAGATCCCACTAAGATCACACTAAGATCACACTAAGATCCCACTAAGATCACACTAAGATCACACTAAGATCACACTAAGATCACACTAAGATCACACTAAGATCACACTAAGATCCCACTAAGATCACACTAAGATCCCACTAAGATCACACTAAGATCACACTAAGATCCCACTAAGATCACACTAAGATCCCACTAAGATCACACTAAGATCACACTAAGATCCCACTAAGATCACACTAAGATCCCACTAAGATCACACTAAGATCCCACTAAGATCCCACTAAGATCACACTAAGATCCCACTAAGATCACACTAAGATCACACTAAGATCCCACTAAGATCACACTAAGATCACACTAAGATCACTCTAAGATCCCACTAAGATCCCACTAAGATCACACTAAGATCCCACTAAGATCCCACTAAGATCACACTAAGATCCCACTAAGATCCCACTAAGATCACACTAAGATCTAAGATCACACTAAGATCCCACTAAGATCCCACTAAGATCACTCTAAGATCCCACTAAGATCCCACTAAGATCACACTAAGATCCCACTAAGATCCCACTAAGATCACACTAAGATCCCACTAAGATCCCACTAAGATCACACTAAGATCTAAGATCACACTAAGATCCCACTAAGATCCCACTAAGATCCCACTAAGATCCCACTAAGATCCCACTAAGATCCCACTAAGATCACACTAAGATCCCATTAAGATCACACTAAGATCCCACTAAGATCACACTAAGATCCCACTAAGATCCCACTAAGATCCCACTAAGATCACACTAAGATCCCACTAAGATCCCACTAAGATACCACTAAGATCCCACTAAGATCACACTAAGATCCCACTAAGATCCCACTAAGATACCACTAAGATCACACTAAGATCCCACTAAGATCCCACTAAGATCACACTAAGATCCCACTAAGATCCCACTAAGATCACACTAAGATCCCACTAAGATCCCACTAAGATACCACTAAGATCCCACTAAGATCACACTAAGATCCCACTAAGATCCCACTAAGATCCCACTAAGATCACACTAAGATCACACTAAGATCCCACTAAGATCCCACTAAGATCCCACTAAGATCACACTAAGATCCCACTAAGATCCCACTAAGATACCACTAAGATCCCACTAAGATCACACTAAGATCCCACTAAGATCCCACTAAGATCCCACTAAGATCCCACTAAGATCACACTAAGATCACACTAAGATCCCACTAAGATCCCACTAAGATCCCACTAAGATCACACTAAGATCCCACTAAGATCCCACTAAGATACCACTAAGATCCCACTAAGATCACACTAAGATCCCACTAAGATCCCACTAAGATCACACTAAGATCCCACTAAGATCCCACTAAGATCCCACTAAGATCCCACTAAGATCACACTAAGATCCCACTAAGATCCCACTAAGATCCCACTAAGATCACACTAAGATCCCACTAAGATCCCACTAAGATCCCACTAAGATCACACTAAAGCCTGGTTCACACAAGACCATTTCAAAATTGTCGGCCGATATTTTCTCTGTGTGAGACTCCACACATGGAGATAAAAAATCATGGGTCTAACCACTTTGGTCGCACAGTGTGTGTCAAAATCACGCAAACCACACACACATCACACACGAACCGACTCCCCCCCCCGAGCATTCCCAGGTCAGACGGAAATCTCACAAAATCTTGCGAGATCAAGCGTGACTTCAGAGTAAACAATCATGGCGTACGAAGAGGATGCAGCGGCGATAGTTAGTTTTTAGCAGAGAAAAGACGATGGACTATACTTGCTACATCGTGATACGGAGGTGAGTTGTTTCCTCGCCGCCTCGTCTCGTCTTCTGATTGGCTACACGCCGCAGTCATGGCAACGCGCTCGTCTGTCCTCGGGGGACACCACACACAAAGAGAAATTGGGCCAAAACAATCCAACATGTTGGATATCCCCGATATTGAGATCGGAGCAGTCCCAAAGTCCTTCCGATCGACGAGCACAGTCTTACGATTGTCGTAGGGGTAACTCGGATCCAAAATCGGCCTAATTATCCTGCCGTGTGAACCAGGCTTTAGATCACACAAAGATCACACTAATCTAATCTTCAATATATTCTGCTTTTACCATCGAGATAACTGCAGGAATCATGGAAATATTGATTCCTGACGTGTGTGACCACTATTTATGTGTTAGTATGTTATTAGTATGTTATTAGTATATTTTAGTATGTGTTAGTATGTTATAAGTATGTGTTAGTATGTTATTAGTATGTGTTAGTATGTGTTAGTATTTATTAGTATGTGTTAGTATGTGTTAGTATGTTATATGTATGTGTTAGTATGTGTTAGTATGTATTAGTATGTGTTAGTATGTTATTAGTATGTGTTAGTATGTGTTAGTATTTATTAGTATGTGTTAGTATGTTATACGTATGTGTTAGTATGTGTTAGTATGTTATTAGTATGTGTTAGTATGTTATAAGTATGTGTTAGTATGTTATATGTATGTGTTAGTATGTTATATGTATGTGTTAGTATGTTATATGTATGTGTTAGTATGTTATATGTATGTGTTAGTATGTGTTAGTATGTTATATGTATGTGTTAGTATGTTATTAGTATGTGTTAGTATGTTATTAGTATGTGTTAGTATGTTATTAGTATGTGTTTATATGTGTTAATATACTGTATAGTACCTGCAGCAGAGTTTGATCAGGGCCCAGACGACTACAGTCAGAACAACTCCGAGTCCGAACGCCACAAGGACCCGAACCTCCTTCACATGTGACAGCAACATGGACCACACATCTGCAGACACACAACATGAGTGTGTGTGTGTGTGAGAGACTGTGAATGTGTGTGAGACTGTGAGTGAGTGTGTGTGTGTCTGTGTGGGTGTGTGTGTGTGTGTGTCTGTGTGTGTGTCTGTGTGTGTGTGTGTGTGTGTGTGCACTTGTTTTCAACTCCTGGTGGGGTCCATAACCTGAGATTCCGCTCACGTCATGGGGACTGGTTTTACGTGGTGGGGCCCGAACACCGGACCCCACTGGTCCAAGCTTAATAATCAATGGGTAATGCTTTTCTAACGGTCCTTATGCAGTCTCTGTAAAAATATGGAAAGGACCCCTGGAGACTGACTCTTCACCACTGGTGGTGATCTGCAGCATAGTGGCTGCAGGGCTTAAAAAACATTTAAAAAGTGCTAAAACACTATGGATTCGGTTAGACCTTAAAAAGAACAATCAAATGCAATGTAGATTTAGAATTTTTGGTTCATTTTAAGAAATTTTGATTTTTAAAATTTCTTCGCAGCTTCATCACCACTGGTGCTGACTTGAAGCGGGGAACATTTTTCCAACCTTATAACAATGCATAAAAGCTGTTAAATCACACTATGAATTCTGACACACATGGTAAAGAGTAATCCTATACAGTGTTTAATTGCAAAAATGTTTTAATTTTAAAAGATATGTTTAAAAAACAAAATCTTCGCAGCTTGAAATCACCACTGGTGCTGACTTGAAGCCGGGAACATTTTTCCAACCTTATAACAATGCATAAAAGCTGTTAAATCACTATGAATTCTGACACACATGGTAAAGAGTAATCCAATACAGTGTTTAATTGCAAAAATGTTTTAATTTTAAAAGATATGTTTAAAAAACAAAATCTTCGCAGCTTGAAATCACCACTGGTGATGACTTGAAGCCGGGAAGATTTTTCCAACCTTATAACAATGCATAAAAGCTGTTAAATCACTATGAATTCTGACACACATGGTAAAGAGTAATCCTATACAGTGTTTAATTGCAAAAATGTTTTAATTTTAAAAGATATGTTTAAAAAACAAAATCTTCGCAGCTTGAAATCACCACTGGTGATGACTTGAAGCCGGGAACATTTTTCCAACCTTATAACAATGCATAAAAGCTGTTAAATCACTATGAATTCTGACACACATGGTAAAGAGTAATCCAATACAATGTTTAATTGCAAAAATGTATTAATTTTAAAAGATATGTTTAAAAAACAAAATCTTCGCAGCTTGAAATCACCACTGGTGATGACTTGAAGCGGGAACATTTTTCCAACCTTATAACAATGCATAAAAGCTGTTAAATCACTATGAATTCTGACACACTGGTAAAGAGTAATCCAATACAGTGTTTAATTGCAAAAATGTATTAATTTTAAAACATATGTTTAAAAAACAAAATCTTCGCAGCTTGAAATCAGCACTGGTGCTGACTTGAAGCGGGGAACATTTTTCCAACCTTATAACAATGCATAAAAGCTGTTAAATCACTATGAATTCTGACACACATGGTAAAGAGTAATCCAATACAATGTTTAATTGCAAAAATGAATTAATTTTAAAAGATATGTTTAAAACACAAAATCTTCGCAGCTTGAAATCACCACTGGTGCTGACTTGAAGCCGGGAACATTTTTCCAACCTTATAACAATGCATAAAAGCTGTTAAATCACTATGAATTCTGACACACATGGTAAAGAGTAATCCAATACAATGTTTAATTGCAAACATGTATTAATTTTAAGAATCATATGTATATGTACATGTAAGTATATATATATATATATATATATATATATGTACACACACATACATACACACAGTGTTCTTCTTTTTCAGTCATTATTCAGTCTGCAGAATTCCCTGCTGAAATACCTGCTTTGGTCACAAGATGGACACGTGAGCTGTGGATACAGAGGAATGCAGAGATTAGCTGGGAGGCTCTGGGGGATGGGATTCTCAATGTGTGGAGAAAGTCATTAAAGTTTCTACTGTCAACACAGATATATAACACATATACAAAGGATTAAAAAGACTATTTATTGATATGACAAAGGAAGAAAACAGCTTTTATGACACACTGAAGACAAGCAGCTTGTTATTGGTTCAACAAATCTGTACACAAACATAATAATATTATAGAGATAAAAACTAATTTATTCTGTAAATAAAATACCAGACCAGACGTGGGGACCAGGGATAGACCAGAATAGACTAGAGAGAGACCAGGCAGAGACCAGGGAGAGACCAAACTGAGACCAGAGAGAGCCTACTGGTACATGAACTCTGCCTAAATTGTGAGTGTCTGTGTTTTAGTATTAAAGATTGTACAGCATTGTATATACATTGTAAATACAGTCAGGAGTGTAAGCCTATTTTCTGTGGGTCCTGCTTGAGACGTCCTGCTGTGAGACAATAGGTCAGAACAACAGAATGCTTGGAATGCAGAGGGGGAAGGGGTCTGCAATGAACAGTGGCTGAGTGGTTAACATGTATGTTTTTAAGTTGGGTTCAAATCCAGACCTTCTCATTTATTTTTTGTATTGTACAGCCCTTAACCTGTAAAATAAACACCTTGTCATCCTCGTCTCCGCTTGAGGCAGATTTAGATCTTTTGAGAGGAGGATCAACTGGGACACTTTTTTAGCTTTTTGGGCTGCTTAAATATATATATATATATATATATATATATATATATTATATATATATATATATAGGCTCTGGGGGATGGGATTCTCAATGTGTGGAGAAAGTAATTAAAGTTTCTACTGTCAACACAGATATATAACACATATACAAAGGATTAAAAAGACTATTTATTGATATGACAAAGGAAGAAAACAGCTTTTATGACACACTGAAGACAAGCAGCTTGTTATTGGTTCAACAAATCTGTACACAAACATAATAATATTATAGAGATAAAAACTAATTTATTCTGTAAATAAAATACCAGACCAGACGTGGGGACCAGAGAGAGAGACCAGATGAGAACAGAGATATACTAGAGAGAGACCAGAGAGAGTCTGGTCTCGGCGTTGATTTTTAACGAATTTCTGGAGGCTCTCCCTGTATTCCCAGACAAACACGCTTTTGTGAGCTCAAGTGCCTTTTGCGCAGGCCGTAACTTTTTTGTCTTTCATTTCCTATGAGTGAAATTCACGGAGGATGTAGCCCAGGTCCGGAGGAGTGCGTGGGTCCAAGCCCCATGTCTATAGCCCCCCTGGTTCGCCTTCTACGGGCCCGTGAAACCGCCACTTTCTTGACCGAGAATAGGCGCTCGTGAGCGGACACGGCCGCGCTGTCCCCCGCTGATTTTCAGACCGACGTAACATTCCCGTCTCTTGTCCCCCGTGCGTGAAAATCACAGGGGTGGTAGCCCAGGTCGAGACGAGTCCCTGGGTCCAGACCGCGAGTCTCTGGGCCTCTGCGTTGATTTTTAACCAATTTCTGGAGATTCTGTATTCCTAGGCACACGGGCTTTTGGAGGAAAAAATGACAAAGTGTCTAGCGAGCTCAAGTGCCTTTTGCGCAGGCCGTAACTTTTTTGTCTTTCATTTCCTATGAGTGAAATTCACGGAGGATGTAGCCCAGGTCCGGAGGAGTGCGTGGGTCCAAGCCCCATGTCTATAGCCCCCCTGGTTCGCCTTCTACGGGCCCGTGAAACCGCCACTTTCTTGACCGAGAATAGGCGCTCGTGAGCGGACACGGCCGCGCTGTCCCCCGCTGATTTTCAGACCGACGTAACATTCCCGTCTCTTGTCCCCCGTGCGTGAAACTCACAGGGGTCGTAGGCCAGGCCGAGACGAGTCCCTGGGTCGAGACCGCGAGTCTCTGGGCCTCGGCGTTGATTTTTAACGAATTTCTGGAGGCTCTCCCTGTATTCCCAGACAAATACGCTTTTGGAGGAAAAAATATGACAAAGTGTCTTGTGAGCTCAAGTGCCTTTTGCGCAGACCGTAACTTTTTTGTCTTTCATTTCCTATGAGTGAAATTCACGGAGGATGTAGCCCAGGTCCGGAGGAGTGCGTGGGTTTACTTTCCTGAAAAAAGTGTGTTCTGTGTCGGAACCCTGGTGGTGGGTTGCGGGATATCAAGGAGGGGCACACTGGGGCAATTTCAGTCCAGCAGGCTGGAGCCAATCATGGAGCAGCACAACAGAGGCTGGAGCCAATCATGGAGCAGCACAACAGAGGAAATCAGGTGTCAGGCTAGAAAAAGGTGCAAGTGTGTGGTTCATTAGGCTGCAAGAAATCATGGAGGAGCACACTGAAGTGCACGCTTACAACCCACTGGTAAGTGCTGACTACAAGTCATGACTTCAAATTGTTATATAGAATTATTACTAATTATTTGTTGTTTGTGCAGCTTAGTCAAGAGTCCCTAATTGATGAAGTCGACTCAGATTCTGACGATTTAACTGTCAAGAAGAAACCTGTAAAAAAGTATGGAAAAAGAAAAATCAAAAACACTTTTCTTCAAGACTCGGAAAGTGACGAACCAAAGGCAAATAAGATTGTTATCATGCAGCTGCAAAAGAAGAAAAATGGGGGGCGAGTATACAGCAAGAGACACTTCTGCCTCTACTGTTCAATGTCCTGCCACAAAATGTCCCGTCATTTGACTAGAAAACATGGAAATGAAAGTGACGTAGCCAGAGCATTGGCTCTACCTGTGAAATCTAAAGCACGTAAACTTCAGTTTGATTTGATCAGGAATAGTGGAAACCGTGAGCACAATTTTGAGGTTTTAAAGGCCGGCATTGGAACTTTAGTCCCAGCTAAACAGCCAAATTCCCCAGTTAAATCCAGTGAGTTTTTGCACTGTATAGACTGTGGGGCATTGCTTAAGCGAAAGTCGCTGTGGAGGCATGTGGCCAGGTGCCGGCTTTCACAGAAAGATGCCCAGGCTAAACCAGGCTAAACCAGGTAGAAGTAGGGTCCAGTCCCTCTGCTCCCTAGCCCAGCCTGTACCGGAGGGCATCAGCAAAAAGCTGTGGTCTTTAATTTGGGCAATGCATCAGGATGAGGTCACGGGTGTTGTCAAAGCAGAAAAGGGGATTCTGAGACTCGGAGAGCACCTGTACTTAAAACACGGGCATGATAAAGACTAAGCATGATTACATTAGGCAGAAAATGAGAGAAGTCGGTAGGTTAATTAACGAAGCAAAAACTGCAGGGAAACTGAAAACAATGAAGGATTTCTTTATTCCTTCCAACTTTAACCATGTGATTGATGCAGTCAGGTCTGTGGCTGGATATGATGAGGAAACAAATCAATACAAGACTCCATCCTTGGCCCTCAAACTCGGCCATAGCCTCAGAAAGCTAGCAGATATTCTTGAATGTGACTCAAAAATGGAGCATTGTGTTGATGAACTATTTATTAAAAACCTCCAACGAAGCCGGCTGCTTTTTGAGAAGAGGTGGGACGTCTGTGTTTCTTCTGCTGCCCTACAGACCCTCCGGCAAGCCAAGTGGAACACTCCGGACCTGCTCCCTCTGACTGAGGACGTTAGAGCCATGCATGCACATATTGAGGTATGTCGACCTGAATATGTGCAAACCCTAATAAGTGAGCCAACGTCTAAGCATTGGTCTAAACTGGCAGTTTTGACTCTTTGTGAGGTCATCATTTTCAATCGAAGAAGGGAAGGTGAGGTTTCAAAGATGCCACTGACAGCCTTTACCTTAAGAAGTAAGACTGGGATCCATTCTGACATTGCTCTGGGACTGTCCCAACTTGAGAAAAAGCTGTGTCAGCATTTTCAACGCATTGAAATTAAAGGGAAAAGAAGTCGGAAAGTGCCGGTTCTTTTGACTCCTGAAATGATTGCTTCGATGGAGGTGCTGGTGGAGAACAGAAGGGCCTGTTCCATCTCTGACCATAACCCATACTTCTTTTCCCGCCCGGGCGCAGACACCCACATCAGGGGATCAGACTCCCTACGCCAGGTAGCCAAAGAATGTGGTGCGGTGCATCCAGAGATGCTATCCTCAACCAAACTTAGAAAGCACATAGCTACTATGTCTACAGTTCTCAATATGAAAAGAATGAGATGGACATACTTGCCAACTTCCTCGGCCATGACATTCGCATCCACAGGCAATATTACAGACTACCAGAGGGGACACTGGAGCTGGCCAAAATCAGCAAAGTGTTGATGGCCATGGAGCAGGGAAGAGTGACGGAATTCGAAGGAAAGAGCCTCGACCAGATACAAATTGAGCCTGAAGGTAATTCTTGATATTATTAAAATATGTATGATTTTTTTCCCCTAAAGGCCACTTGTATTTTTATTTTCTGTGCGACAGGGAGAGCAGTAGAGATCCTCTCACAAACGGACGGGCTAAAAGAAACTTCAAGCGGAGAACCTTCAACCATTCATCCAGATGCACCCCATGGTAGTGGCAGTGCCCCTTCTGGTAAGTGTACCAGGTGGGGGATTACAGCCAGGCTGCTTGGTCCTCACCCTGGGAGTGTATATTGCTAATATATTTTTATTTCTCTCCCTAGAACGTTAGAGAAAGCCATGGTCTGCATCTGAGGTGAAGGCTGTGGAGAAGACCATGACACCTTTCATACAGACTGGAAAGGTCCCTGGGAAGTCTCACTGCCTGGCCTGCATTAATGCCTCACCAGATGACCTTAGACATCGGACATGGAGTGGCATTAAATTCTATGTCAAAAATAGAATCACTGCAATTCGAAAAAAAAATCTAAAATAAAATTCCTTTAAAATAGTTGTTTGGTTTCTATTGACTGTTTTGTATTACTTAAAGTCCCAGTAAAAAAAGATTATGTCTATGGGTCCCATTCTGAACGGCTCTGTCAAAGGGACCCACCAGGTAACAAAAACGTGTGTGTGTGTGTGTGTGTGTGTGTGTGTGGCCACAGACAGAATATGAAGGTTTTAAGGTGGAAACTTTACCCGTCTCTTGTCCAACGCTGGAGTCATTACTGTTTCCATGGTGACCGGTCGTGTTGAGTTCAGGGGTCACTGTGAAGGAAAAGGAAATGCTCTGACCCACAACGATGCGTGTTGTGGAACATGCTACTTTCAGTTGTTGCTTTATTAGGATAAAATAAACTTTATTGCTCTCACAGAAATGTATCTGTAAGAAGTTAAAGTTCTAAGAATAAAGTAGAGAAGAAGAAAGTTCTCTGACCTGTGGCTGTGTTTTCTCCCATCGTGGCTGTGGAGACGTTAGGAGCAGGAGACTCACTGCTGGAGGCCCCTGGACACAATAGGACAGAGTGGAACCTTTAACTCTGAGGAGCACAGGGACTGGCCTCCTGCTGGGACTCTGAGGAGCACAGGGACTGGCCTCCTGCTGGGACTCTGAGGAGCACAGGGACTGGCCTCCTGCTGGGACTCTGAGGAGCACAGGGACTGGACTCCTGCTGGGACTCTGAGGAGCACAGGGACTGGCCTCCTGCTGGGACTCTGAGGAGCACAGGGACTTGCCTCCTGCTGGGACTCTGAGGAGCACAGGGACTGGCCTCCTGCTGGGACTCTGAGGAGCACAGGGACTGGCCTCCTGCTGGGACTCTGAGGAGCACAGGGACTGGACTCCTGCTGGGACTCTGAGGAGCACAGGGACTGGACTCCTGCTGGGACTCTGAGGAGCACAGGGACTGGCCTCCTGCTGGGACTCTGAGGAGCACAGGGACTGGACTCCTGCTGGGACTCTGAGGAGCACAGGGACTGGACTCCTGCTGGGACTCTGAGGAGCACAGGGACTGGCCTCCTGCTGGGACTCTGAGGAGCACAGGGACTGGCCTCCTGCTGGGACTCTGAGGAGCACAGGGACTGGACTCCTGCTGGGACTCTGAGGAGCACAGGGACTGGACTCCTGCTGGGACTCTGAGGAGCACAGGGACTGGCCTCCTGCTGGGACTCTGAGGAGCACAGGGACTGGCCTCCTGCTGGGACTCTGAGGAGCACAGGGACTGGCCTCCTGCTGGTCCCAGATGCAGGGCTAAAGATGAGGAGACGGTGTTTCAGATTCATGCAAAAATCTGGAACAGTCTTCCTGAAAGTATGAGACAGTAGTAGTAAGTAAGTAGCTTTATTTATTTACCGCCTTTTCACTGCAGAGCTGAGTCTCAAAGCGGTTTACAATTGTTATTTTTTGGGCATTTGTCTCTCACTCCACACAGAGATGGGAGCGGGGTCGCCGAACAGGAGGCGCATGCCAGAACTATTGTACATATTTTTAGTGGTAGGGGAAACCGGAGCACCGGGAGGAAACCTACGCAGACACGGGGAGAACATGCAAACTCCACTCAGAAAGGCCCTGGTCCGACCGGGATTCGAACCCAGAACCTTCTTGCTGAGAGGCGAGAGTGCTATCCACTCAGCCACCGTGCCGCGAGACAGCTGAAGGATTGTATCTTTACTGTGGTTATTTATTGTGTGTTTCTGTTTTGTGTTGTGTTTCTGTGAGCTGTGAAGGAAGTGTGCTACACAAAATAACTTTGTCTAAAATCCCTGAAGTCCGAGATTTCCCAAAACCTTTGACCTCAAGAGAAACTTTAGATCTTTCTTTGATCAAAGGTTTTGAAAAGTCTGAGAAACGACTGTTGGATTCAGAGCGATATACGAATAAACTGTACCTTTGCTTCGTGCCGCCGCGAGGAGCAGGAGAATAAACTGTACCTTTGCTTCGTGCCGCCGCGAGGAGCAGGAGAATAAACTGTACCTTTGCTTCGTGCCGCCGCGAGGAGCAGGAGAAGGTGAAGAGTCAAACGTCTCATCTTCGAAGGAAACCTCTGAAAGACCAGAAGTGGCTTCACGGTTCACCACAACCATGAGCACAGGTACAGCCCCATGGTCTGTTTCAGTCTGAGACAGTGATGACCGTGAACTTCCTGTTTCTGAGACAGCTGCAAACCAGGAAGTGTTTCTGTGGGTTTCATGGTCAAAGAGGAAGTCTCCGAAGTGTGCTCAGCTGTGGCGCCCCCTGGTGGTACCATGAAGCACCATGAAGCACTGAGGGATTGCAAACTAGTACCCGGCCCAAGGTTCAAGGCTCGAAGTAATTCGTGCTCCACTACGCCACCATGTGGACAAAGACATGCATCACACAGTGCTTTCTATGTTCATGATAATATACATATTTACAGTCTGTGATTAACCAGTAAGACCAGGAGATGGTACCTGTGCTAACACCAGTAAGACCAGGAGATGGTACCTGTGCTAACACCAGTAAGACCAGGAGATGGTACCTGTGCTAACACCAGTAAGACCAAGGAGATGGTACCTGTGCTAACACCAGCAAGACCAAGGAGATGGTACCTGTGCTAACACCAGCAAGACCAAGGAGATGGTACCTGTGCTAACACCAGTAAGACCAGGAGATGGTACCTGTGCTAACACCAGTAAGACCAGGAGATGGTACCTGTGCTAACACCAGTAAGACCAGGAGATGGTACCTGTGCTAACACCAGTAAGACCAGGAGATGGTACCTGTGCTAACACCAGTAAGACCAAGGAGATGGTACCTGTGCTAACACCAGTAAGACCAAGGAGATGGTACCTGTGCTAACACCAGTAAGACCAAGGAGATGGTACCTGTGCTAACACCAGTAAGACCAGGAGATGGTACCTGTGCTAACACCAGTAAGACCAGGAGATGGTACCTGTGCTAACACCAGTAAGACCAAGGAGATGGTACCTGTGCTAACACCAGTAAGACCAAGGAGATGGTACCTGTGCTAACACCAGTAAGACCAAGGAGATGGTACCTGTGCTAACACCAGTAAAACCAAGGAGATGGTACCTGTGCTAACACCAGTAAGACCAAGGAGATGGTACCTGTGCTAACACCAGTAAGACCAGGAGATGGTACCTGTGCTAACACCAGTAAGACCAGGAGATGGTACCTGTGCTAACACCAGTAAGACCAGGAGATGGTACCTGTGCTAACACCAGTAAGACCAGGAGATGGTACCTGTGCTAACAGCAGTAAGACCAGGAGATGGTACCTGTGCTAACACCAGTAAGACCAAGGAGATGGTACCTGTGCTAACACCAGTAAGACCAAGGAGATGGTACCTGTGCTAACACCAGTAAGACCAAGGAGATGGTACCTGTGCTAACACCAGTAAGACCAGGAGATGGTACCTGTGCTAACACCAGTAAGACCAAGGAGATGGTACCTGTGCTAACACCAGTAAGACCAGGAGATGGTACCTGTGCTAACACCAGTAAGACCAGGAGATGGTACCTGTGCTAACACCAGTAAGACCAGGAGATGGTACCTGTGCTAACACCAGTAAGACCAGGAGATGGTACCTGTGCTAACACCAGTAAGACCAGGAGATGGTACCTGTGCTAACACCAGTAAGACCAGGAGATGGTACCTGTGCTAACAGCAGTAAGACCAGGAGATGGTACCTGTGCTAACACCAGTAAGACCAAGGAGATGGTACCTGTGCTAACACCAGTAAGACCAAGGAGATGGTACCTGTGCTAACACCAGTAAGACCAAGGAGATGGTACCTGTGCTAACACCAGTAAGACCAGGAGATGGTACCTGTGCTAACACCAGTAAGACCAAGGAGATGGTACCTGTGCTAACACCAGTAAGACCAAGGAGATGGTACCTGTGCTAACACCAGTAAGACCAGGAGATGGTACCTGTGCTAACACCAGTAAGACCAGGAGATGGTACCTGTGCTAACACCAGTAAGACCAGGAGATGGTACCTGTGCTAACACCAGCAAGACCAAGGAGATGGTACCTGTGCTAACACCAGTAAGACCAGGAGATGGTACCTGTGCTAACAGCAGTAAGACCAGGAGATGGTACCTGTGCTAACACCAGTAAGACCAGGAGATGGTACCTGTGCTAACACCAGTAAGACCAGGAGATGGTACCTGTGCTAACACCAGTAAGACCCAGGAGATGGTACCTGTGCTAACACCAGTAAGACCAAGGAGATGGTACCTGTGCTAACACCAGTAAGACCAGGAGATGGTACCTGTGCTAACACCAGTAAGACCAGGAGATTGTACCTGTGCTAACACCAGTAAGACCAGGAGATGGTACCTGTGCTAACACCAGTAAGACCAGGAGATGGTACCTGTGCTAACACCAGTAAGACCAAGGAGATGGTACCTGTGCTAACACCAGTAAGACCAAGGAGATGGTACCTGTGCTAACACCAGTAAGACCAGGAGATGGTACCTGTGCTAACACCAGTAAGACCAAGGAGATGGTACCTGTGCTAACACCAGTAAGACCAAGGAGATGGTACCTGTGCTAACACCAGTAAGACCAAGGAGATGGTACCTGTGCTAACACCAGTAAGACCAAGGAGATGGTACCTGTGCTAACACCAGTAAGACCAAGGAGATGGTACCTGTGCTAACACCAGTAAGACCATGGAGATGGTACCTGTGCTAACACCAGTAAGACCAAGGAGATGGTACCTGTGCTAACACCAGCAAGACCAAGGAGATGGTACCTGTGCTAACACCAGTAAGACCAAGGAGATGGTACCTATGCTAACACCAGTAAGACCAAGGAGATGGTACCTGTGCTAACACCACTAAGACCAAGGAGATGGTACCTGTGCTAACACCAGTAAGACCAAGGAGATGGTACCTGTGCTAACACCACTAAGACCAAGGAGATGGTACCTGTGCTAACACCAGCAAGACCAAGGAGATGGTACCTGTGCTAACACCAGCAAGACCAAGGAGATGGTACCTGTGCTAACACCAGTAAGACCAAGGAGATGGTACCTGTGCTAACACCACTAAGACCAAGGAGATGGTACCTGTGCTAACACCAGTAAGACCAGGAGATGGTACCTGTGCTAACACCAGTAAGACCAGGAGATGGTACCTGTGCTAACACCAGTAAGACCAGGAGATGGTACCTGTGCTAACAGCAGTAAGACCAGGAGATGGTACCTGTGCTAACACCAGTAAGACCAGGAGATGGTACCTGTGCTAACACCAGTAAGACCAGGAGATGGTACCTGTGCTAACACCAGTAAGACCCAGGAGATGGTACCTGTGCTAACACCAGTAAGACCAAGGAGATGGTACCTGTGCTAACACCAGTAAGACCAGGAGATGGTACCTGTGCTAACACCAGTAAGACCAGGAGATTGTACCTGTGCTAACACCAGTAAGACCAGGAGATGGTACCTGTGCTAACACCAGTAAGACCAAGGAGATGGTACCTGTGCTAACACCACTAAGACCAAGGAGATGGTACCTGTGCTAACACCAGTAAGACCAAGGAGATGGTACCTGTGCTAACACCAGTAAGACCAGGAGATGGTACCTGTGCTAACACCAGTAAGACCAGGAGATGGTACCTGTGCTAACACCAGTAAGACCAGGAGATGGTACCTGTGCTAACACCAGTAAGACCAGGAGATGGTACCTGTGCTAACACCAGTAAGACCAGGAGATGGTACCTGTGCTAACACCAGTAAGACCAGGAGATGGTACCTGTGCTAACAGCAGTAAGACCAGGAGATGGTACCTGTGCTAACACCAGTAAGACCAAGGAGATGGTACCTGTGCTAACACCAGTAAGACCAAGGAGATGGTACCTGTGCTAACACCAGTAAGACCAAGGAGATGGTACCTGTGCTAACACCAGTAAGACCAGGAGATGGTACCTGTGCTAACACCAGTAAGACCAAGGAGATGGTACCTGTGCTAACACCAGTAAGACCAAGGAGATGGTACCTGTGCTAACACCAGTAAGACCAGGAGATGGTACCTGTGCTAACACCAGTAAGACCAGGAGATGGTACCTGTGCTAACACCAGTAAGACCAGGAGATGGTACCTGTGCTAACACCAGCAAGACCAAGGAGATGGTACCTGTGCTAACACCAGTAAGACCAGGAGATGGTACCTGTGCTAACAGCAGTAAGACCAGGAGATGGTACCTGTGCTAACACCAGTAAGACCAGGAGATGGTACCTGTGCTAACACCAGTAAGACCAGGAGATGGTACCTGTGCTAACACCAGTAAGACCCAGGAGATGGTACCTGTGCTAACACCAGTAAGACCAAGGAGATGGTACCTGTGCTAACACCAGTAAGACCAGGAGATGGTACCTGTGCTAACACCAGTAAGACCAGGAGATTGTACCTGTGCTAACACCAGTAAGACCAGGAGATGGTACCTGTGCTAACACCAGTAAGACCAGGAGATGGTACCTGTGCTAACACCAGTAAGACCAAGGAGATGGTACCTGTGCTAACACCAGTAAGACCAAGGAGATGGTACCTGTGCTAACACCAGTAAGACCAGGAGATGGTACCTGTGCTAACACCAGTAAGACCAAGGAGATGGTACCTGTGCTAACACCAGTAAGACCAAGGAGATGGTACCTGTGCTAACACCAGTAAGACCAAGGGGATGGTACCTGTGCTAACACCAGTAAGACCAAGGAGATGGTACCTGTGCTAACACCAGTAAGACCAAGGAGATGGTACCTGTGCTAACACCAGTAAGACCATGGAGATGGTACCTGTGCTAACACCAGTAAGACCAAGGAGATGGTACCTGTGCTAACACCAGCAAGACCAAGGAGATGGTACCTGTGCTAACACCAGTAAGACCAAGGAGATGGTACCTGTGCTGACACCAGTAAGACCAAGGAGATGGTACCTGTGCTAACACCAGTAAGACCAAGGAGATGGTACCTATGCTAACACCAGTAAGACCAAGGAGATGGTACCTGTGCTAACACCACTAAGAGCAAGGAGATGGTACCTGTGCTAACACCAGTAAGACCAAGGAGATGGTACCTGTGCTAACACCACTAAGACCAAGGAGATGGTACCTGTGCTAACACCAGCAAGACCAAGGAGATGGTACCTGTGCTAACACCAGCAAGACCAAGGAGATGGTACCTGTGCTAACACCACTAAGACCAAGGAGATGGTACCTGTGCTAACACCAGTAAGACCAGGAGATGGTACCTGTGCTAACACCAGTAAGACCAGGAGATGGTACCTGTGCTAACACCAGTAAGACCAGGAGATGGTACCTGTGCTAACAGCAGTAAGACCAGGAGATGGTACCTGTGCTAACACCAGTAAGACCAGGAGATGGTACCTGTGCTAACACCAGTAAGACCAGGAGATGGTACCTGTGCTAACACCAGTAAGACCCAGGAGATGGTACCTGTGCTAACACCAGTAAGACCAAGGAGATGGTACCTGTGCTAACACCAGTAAGACCAGGAGATGGTACCTGTGCTAACACCAGTAAGACCAGGAGATTGTACCTGTGCTAACACCAGTAAGACCAGGAGATGGTACCTGTGCTAACACCAGTAAGACCAAGGAGATGGTACCTGTGCTAACACCAGTAAGACCAAGGAGATGGTACCTGTGCTAACACCAGTAAGACCAGGAGATGGTACCTGTGCTAACACCAGTAAGACCAAGGAGATGGTACCTGTGCTAACACCAGTAAGACCAAGGAGATGGTACCTGTGCTAACACCAGTAAGACCAAGGAGATGGTACCTGTGCTAACACCAGTAAGACCAAGGAGATGGTACCTGTGCTAACACCAGTAAGACCAAGGAGATGGTACCTGTGCTAACACCAGTAAGACCAAGGAGATGGTACCTGTGCTAACACCAGTAAGACCATGGAGATGGTACCTGTGCTAACACCAGTAAGACCAAGGAGATGGTACCTGTGCTAACACCAGCAAGACCAAGGAGATGGTACCTGTGCTAACACCAGTAAGACCAAGGAGATGGTACCTGTGCTGACACCAGTAAGACCAAGGAGATGGTACCTGTGCTAACACCAGTAAGACCAAGGAGATGGTACCTGTGCTAACACCAGTAAGACCAAGGAGATGGTACCTGTGCTAACACCACTAAGACCAAGGAGATGGTACCTGTGCTAACACCAGCAAGACCAAGGAGATGGTACCTGTGCTAACACCAGCAAGACCAAGGAGATGGTACCTGTGCTAACACCAGTAAGACCAAGGAGATGGTACCTGTGCTAACACCAGTAAAACCAAGGAGATGGTACCTGTGCTAACACCAGAAAGACCAAGGAGATGGTACCTGTGCTAACACCAGCAAGACCAAGGAGATGGTACCTGTGCTAACACCAGTAAGACCAGGAGATGGTACCTGTGCTAACACCAGTAAGACCAGGAGATGGTACCTGTGCTAACACATGAGAATAAACATGTAGACTGTGGTTTGAAAAGGGTTTGATTTTAAAATCTTCAGTTTTAATCATCCAGCCAACTTTGATTGAAATTGTCACCGGTCAAACCTTTTGTATTTTACGAAACAAAACACAAGTAAGAACAAGCTTTTTATTGGTTAAAAAATATGTATTTAACAAAAACAAAACAGAGAGCACAGGGATCAGAGAGCACAGGGATCAGAGAGCACAGGGATCAGAGAGCACAGGGCTCAGAGAGCACAGGGCTCAGAGAGCACAGGGATCAGAGAGCACAGGGATCAGAGAGCACAGGGATCAGAGAGCACAGGGATCAGAGAGCACAGGGATCAGAGAGCACAGGGCTCAGAGAGCACAGGGATCAGAGAGCACAGGGCTCAGAGAGCACAGGGCTCAGAGAGCACAGGGCTCAGAGAGCACAGGGATCAGAGAGCACAGGGATCAGAGAGCACAGGGATCAGAGAGCACAGGGATCAGAGAGCACAGGGCTCAGAGAGCACAGGGATCAGAGAGCACAGGGATCAGAGAGCACAGGGCTCAGAGAGCACAGGGATCAGAGAGCACAGGGATCAGAGAGCACAGGGATCAGAGAGCACAGGGCTCAGAGAGCACAGGGATCAGAGAGCACAGGGATCAGAGAGCACAGGGCTCAGAGAGCACAGGGATCAGAGAGCACAGGGATCAGAGAGCACAGGGATCAGAGAGCACAGGGATCAGAGAGCACAGGGATCAGAGAGCACAGGGATCAGAGAGCACAGGGCTCAGAGAGCACAGGGATCAGAGAGCACAGGGCTCAGAGAGCACAGGGATCAGAGAGCACAGGGATCAGAGAGCACAGGGATCAGAGAGCACAGGGATCAGAGAGAGATCCATAGACTGTAAATATGAACGGACAGAGCCAGACCTATCTGGGCCGTTCTCACTAATGGGCCAAAAAATGTGCTCTACTGGAGCGAGTGGTCCCGCCCACAAGAAAATTGTGAAAAAACTGTGCATGCGTCAGCTGCGAGAGCTCCATTCAATTAAACAGAGACTTCTAAAGTCCACAGCGACTAAACTAGACTGGTCCAGAACACTCAGCATTGACACACATGTGGAACGGAGCTTTGGGCAAAGAGACACTTTTGGACCATCCTGTAAAGACGTTTTCCAGAGGTCTGCTAACGCTATATGTTAGCATTGGCTAACTCTACTTCTGGGTCCACCCCCACAGGCCCGGGGTGGTACTGCAAACCCGGCCCCACTGGTTCTGACCCAGCCCTGTGTGTGGGAAAGAACCCATCACAGTCCAGAACCCACTCTCATCACTCAGACATTATCTCCTCCACGTTGCAGTAGACCGACGCCTCCTCCTCCTCCTGGTCCTTCTCCTGCTGGTCCTTCTCCTCCTGGTCCTCTGTCATGGCCGCCACCTCCTCCATCTTCCCCTCCTCTTCTTCATCTACAACTGGCCTCTGTTGGACGGTCTCTCTCTTGATCTCTGCGTACTCGGTCTTGGTGGTGACTTCCTGGTTCGGTCTCGCCGTTGCCGTGGCGATGGCGGAGAAGTTGATGCTAGCGTAGTGTAGCTCTTCTGCTGTAGCTGTCGACATCATGTGATTGTTGAGCTGTGGACGCACAAAGAACACACAACTCAATCTGGAGAGACACACAAAACTGATACAACTGTACATTACATACACTAAAATATACATTATTTATACTTGATTCTTATTTCTTAATGATATTAAAGCTAGATTTAGTCTAGCTTCTTTATTATGCTAAAGCTAGATTTTAGTCTAGCTTCTTTATTAAGCTAACGTTAGAGGTTCCTCATTCCTACTGCTCTGTAGCCGGTGATGCAACACTGACATTTCCCCACTGTAGCACAAATAAATAATATATAAATAATACATAAATCAGGCTCCAGGGGGCGCCCTTTGAAACCTTTTCTCACTGTTTAGAGCTAACCACAGTCGTACCTGTGCTTCTTCTTCTTCTTTCACCATTTCCAAAGTGTGGACATCTGTGACGTGGAGCTTCTGTTTCCTCCTAAAACAAAAGTGAAGAGTCGTGTGTGAAGAGACACACAACATGAGCCACAGAACAACACTTACCTGCATCTGACGACTACACAACACAGAAGTGCTGCCACAAAGAACCCAGACAGAAACCCCACAAAGACCTCCAGCTCGGAGAACCTCTGGAGGATGGTTTCAGGAGTCACTAACAATCACACACAGAATATTATAAATATATTATAAATATTATAAATATATTAAAAATATATTACAAATATTATAAATATTATAAATATATTATAAATATTATAAATATATTATAAATATTATAAATATTATAAATATATTACAAATATTATAAATATTATAAATATATTATAAATATTATAAATATATTATAAATATTATAAATATTATAAATATATTACAAATATTATAAATATTATAAATATATTATAAATATTATAAATATTATAAATATATTATAAATCGGTCGGCACGGTGGCTGAGTGGATAGCACTCTCGCCTCTCAGAAAGAAGGTCCTGGGTTCAAATCCCGGTTGGACCAGGGCCTTTCTGAGTGGAGTTTGCATGTTCTCCCTGTGTCTGCGTAGGTTTCCTCCGGGTACTCCGGTTTCCCCTACCACTAAAAATATGCACAATAGGTCTGGCATGTGCCTCCTGTACTGGCCCCGCTCCCAAAAAATCACAATTGTAAACCGCTTTGAGATTCTGATGTGCAGTGAAAAGGCAGTATATAAATAAAGATTACTACTACTACTACTACTAAATATTATAAATATATTATAAATATTATAAATATTATAAATATATTATAAATATATTATAAATATATTACTGTCACCACCAGTGTTCTGACTGTTCTGGACGCCATTGCTCCTGTGACGGTTAAAATAGTTACCAGTAAGAAAAAGGCCCCATGGACTAAGGCAGACTCGGTTAGGGCACAGAAGCAAGAGTGCCGGAGGGCCGAACGGAAGTGGCGAAAGTCCAATTTCCAGGGCGATTATGAAATCTTTAAAGATGAGTTGGGTGAATTTAACCGGGTTCTACGTAGAACAAGAGAAATGTATTTTTCTGACATTATTGGAGGTTGCAGTAACAATTTTCGTGTTATGTTTTCAACAGTTGGTAGATTAACGAACCCCCCTGTAAAGTTGCCCCTAGAATTTTCCTCTAAATCTAGGTGTAATGAGTTCGCACAGTTTTTCAATGACAAAGTACAAGGAATCAAAAACACTATCACCTCCACAGCACGTATAACAATGCAACAGCCAGAGAAGCTTTTTGAGCTAACTCACTTTGCACCTGTGGATACTGAAACTGTCAAAAAGATAATCATGAGTCTGAGCTCCTCCACATGTAGCCTGGATATATTGCCCTCTAAATTTCTGAAGTCCGTCCTGAGCAGTTTGTTACCTTCACTGACACAAATAGTAAACATGTCTCTGTCGTCAGGAACATTTCCTATGGCCCTAAAAACAGCAGTCATAAGACCTCTCCTAAAAAAGAGCAGTCTGGATCCTGCGGGACTTCAAAATTATCGCCCCATATCGAATCTGCCATTTATTGGAAAAATTCTTGAAAAAGTGGCCTCCCAACAACTTACTGAATTTTTAACAATGAATGATTCTTTTGATATGTTCCAGTCTGGGTTTAGACCCCACCACAGCACTGAGACCGCTCTAGTGAAGGTAACAAACGACATTCGACTTCACACTGATGCAGGTAAAGTCACAGTTTTGGTCATGTTAGATCTTAGTGCCGCGTTCGACACTGTCGACCATGAGATCCTCATGCAGAGACTGGAGGACTGGGTTGGTGTCACTGGCACAGCCCTAGACTGGTTTAGGTCTTACCTGGAGGATAGGAAGTACTCTGTGGAGATTGGAGACTGCGTCTCAGATGATGTGGCCCTGACCTGTGGAGTACCACAGGGGTCGATCCTGGGACCTCTCCTATTTAATCTCTACATGCTGCCGTTAGGTCAGTTAATACAAAGAAACAAAGTGTCCTACCACAATTACGCTGACGACACTCAGATCTATGTCTCACTGACTGCAGGAGAACATGGACCACTGGATTTGCTCCTTCACTGTATCCAACAGATCAGTGACTGGATGCAAAATAATTTCCTCCAGCTAAATGCAGACAAAACCGAAATCATTGTCTTTGGTCCCCAGAAACAAAGAGAGGGCGTCATTTGTCAACTTCAGTCTCTCTCCCTACTTCCTTCAGACAAGGTCAGAAATTTGGGGGTAATACTGGACTCAGACCTAAATTTCAATAGCCACATAAAATCAATAACATCAACAGCTTTTTACCATCTGAAGAACATTGCCAAAGTTAGAAATATAGTGTCCAGGGCAGACTTGGAGATTCTTGTCCATGCATTTGTCTCCAGCAGGCTAGACTACTGCAATGGCCTGCTTACAGGTCTGTCCAAACAGACCTGTAAGCAGCTGCAGTACATCCAAAATGCAGCAGCTAGAGTCCTGACAGGAACCAGGAAGTATGACCATATTAGTCCGGTCCTCAGGTCTCTGCACTGGCTTCCTGTGGCTCAAAGAATAGATTTTAAAACGGCTCTGCTTGTGTACAAGTCTCTCCATGGCCTTGCACCAGAATACATTAGTGACATGTTGGTGTCATATGAACCGGCCCGGACTCTGAGGAGCACAGGGACTGGCCTCCTGCTGGTGCCCAGAGTGAGAACCAAACATGGGGAGGCTGCGTTTCAGATCCATGCAGCTAAGATCTGGAACAATCTCCCTGAAAATGTGAGGGAGGCGTCTACTCTGTCAATGTTCAAATCCAGGTTAAAGACTGTTCTGTTTGCCTGTGCATATAACTGAAGGATTTTATCTCCATTTTTAATGCACTGCTGTCATTTATTTATTTTTTTAAATTTCTTGTGTAATTTTGAAAGTTTTAATGGTTTTATTCTTTTGTGTGATTTTAATGTTTTAATTGTGTTTTAATCTTTTGTGTGATTTTAATGTTTTAATTGTGATTCTGGTGTTTGTTTTATGTGATGATTTGTGATGTGGACTGTGAAGCGCTTTGTGTTGCCCTGTGTATGAAAGGCGCTCTACAAATAAACTTTGATTGATTGATTGATATTATAAATATTATAAATATATTATAAATATGATCTTATTCTGCTGCATTCGAGGCCCAGATTTGATGCTTTTATTGAAGGTTTGGACCTAAGTGTGTGTCGCTCAGGAGCTGCTGGTTTCTCCCTTCAAAGGTCAAAGTGTGTGATGCTTCATGGTTTAACGTCACATGGTTTAACGTCACAGACAACAGAACATCTTTGGACGTGGCTTTAAAGGTTTTAATGAGACTAAAGTGTGAAGAAGCTGGAACTGTGTAACGTTTCAGGATCAGAAGAACATGACCACAAACCATGAAGACCAGAGACCTTTGAAATGGACCAGGGACCATCAACAGGGACGAGGGGCCTTCCCCTCTATCGTCCTCGTGAGAATAAATCAGAACTAGATTCTTCACACTTTGGTCTCACTGTAAGAATCTCCTTTGTCTGAGGAAAGTTCATGTTTGTATCAAATCTAGAATCTTCATCTTTGTGCTTCATCAGAGCAAAGTGTGAGTCCACAGAGATGTTCCTACTCTAGCCCCATGGTACGGACCAGTGGGTCCTACTCTAGCCCCATGGTACGGACCAGTGGGTCCTACTCTAGCCCCATGGTACGGACCAGTGGGTCCTACTCTAGCCCCATGGTACGGACCAGTGGGTCCTACTCTAGCCCCATGGTACGGACCAGTGGGTCCTACTCTAGCCCCATGGTACGGACCAGTGGGTTCTACTCTAGCCCCATGGTACGGACCAGTGGGTTCTACTCTAGCCCCATGGTACGGACCAGTGGGTCCTACTCTAGCCCCATGGTACGGACCAGTGGGTCCTACTCTAGCCCCATGGTACGGACCAGTGGGTTCTACTCTAGCCCCATGGTACGGACCAGTGGGTCCTACTCTAGCCCCATGGTACGGACCAGTGGGTCCTACTCTAGCCCCATGGTACGGACCAGTGGGTCCTACTCTAGCCCCATGGTACGGACCAGTGGGTTCTACTCTAGCCCCATGGTACGGACCAGTGGGTTCTACTCTAGCCCCATGGTACGGACCAGTGGGTTCTACTCTAGCCCCATGGTACGGACCAGTGGGTTCTACTCTAGCCCCATGGTACGGACCAGTGGGTTCTACTCTAGCCCCATGGTACGGATCAGTGGGTTCTACTCTAGCCCCATGGTACGGACCAGTGGGTTCTACTCTAGCCCCATGGTACGGACCAGTGGGTTCTACTCTAGCCCCATGGTACGGACCAGTGGGTTCTACTCTAGCCCCATGGTACGGACCAGTGGGTTCTACTCTAGCCCCATGGTACGGACCAGTGGGTTCTACTCTAGCCCCATGGTACGGACCAGTGGGTTCTTCTCTGCCCCATGGTACGGACCAGTGGGTTCTACTCTAGCCCCATGGTACGGACCAGTGGGTTCTACTCTAGCCCCATGGTACGGACCAGTGGGTTCTACTCTAGCCCCATGGTACGGACCAGTGGGTTCTACTCTAGCCCCATGGTACGGACCAGTGGGTTCTTCTCTAGCCCCATGGTACGGACCAGTGGGTTCTACTCTAGCCCCATGGTACGGACCAGTGGGTTCTACTCTAGCCCCATGGTACGGACCAGTGGGTTCTACTCTAGCCCCATGGTACGGACCAGTGGGTCCTACTGATGGTCGTGGGTTGGGACTCGGTCCTGGTAGGTACCAGTGGGTCCTGCTGATGGTCCCGGTACGTACCAGTGGGTTGGGACTTGGCCCTGGTACGTACCAGTGGGTTGGGACTCGGCCCTGGTACGTACAGTACCAGTGGGTTGGGACTCGGTCCTGGTACGGACCAGTGGGTTGGGACTCGGCCCTGGTACGTACAGTACCAGTGGGTTGGGACTCGGTCCTGGTACGGACCAGTGGGTTGGGACTCGGTCCTGGTACGGACCAGTGGGTTGGGACACGGTCCTGGTACGGACCAGTGGGTTCTGCTGACTCGGTCCTGGTACGGACCAGTGGGTTGGGACTCGGTCCTGGTACGGACCAGTGGGTTGGGACACGGTCCTGGTACGTACCAGTGGGTTCTGCTGACTTGGTCCTGGTACGTACCAGTGGGTTCTGCTGACTCGGTCCTGGTACGTACCAGTGGGTTGGGACTCGGTCCTGGTACGGACCAGTGGGTTGGGACTCGGTCCTGGTACGGACCAGTGGGTTGGGACACGGTCCTGGTACGGACCAGTGGGTTCTGCTGACTCGGTCCTGGTACGGACCAGTGGGTTGGGACTCGGTCCTGGTACGGACCAGTGGGTTGGGACACGGTCCTGGTACGTACCAGTGGGTTCTGCTGACTTGGTCCTGGTACGGACCAGTGGGTTGGGACTCGGTCCTGGTACGGACCAGTTGGTTGGGACACGGTCCTGGTACGTACCAGTGGGTTCTGCTGACTTGGTCCTGGTACGGACCAGTGGGTTGGGACTCGGTCCTGGTACGGACCAGTGGGTTGGGACACGGTCCTGGTACGTACCAGTGGGTTGGGACTCGGTCCTGGTACGGACCAGTGGGTTGGGACACGGTCCTGGTACGTACCAGTGGGTTGGGACTCGGTCCTGGTACGGACCAGTGGGTTGGGACACGGTCCTGGTACGGACCAGTGGGTTGGGACTCGGTCCTGGTACCTACCAGTGGGTTGGGACTCGGACACGGTGAAAGTGTCCCGGGCCTGTCCTGCTCGGTTCTGGGACACACACTGGACTTCTGTCGTGTTGTGTCCTCTGAGGACGAAGCTGCTGTTGATGGTGTCTCCTGTCACCACGGTAACCAGCGAGTACTCGTGCTGGTCCTGCAGAAGGCTCCATGAGACCGAGGGAACAGGAGAGGCCCGAGAGACGCACACACAGCTCAGGACGTCTCTGTGGCGGACACAGCCCGAGGACCTCAGGATGTGGGGCCTCCCTGGAGAGAGTATAGAATTATATTAATCTATAGAATTATATTAATCTATAGAATTATATTAATCTATAGAATTATTAATCTATAGAATTATATTAATCTATAGAATTATATTAATCTATGGAATTATATTAATCTATAGAATTATTAATCTATAGAATTATATTAATCTATAGAATTATATTAATCTATAGAATTATTAATCTATAGAATTATTAATCTATAGAATTATATTAATCTATAGAATTATATTAATCTATAGAATTATATTAATCTATAGAATTATTAATCTATAGAATTATATTAATCTATAGAATTATATTAATCTATAGAATTATATTAATCTATAGAATTATTAATCTATAGAATTATTAATCATGCAGCAGTGAACTGTTCCAAAACACAGACGTACAGATGTGTCTGACACAGACGTACAGATGACCCTGACACAGACGTACAGATGACCCTGACACAGACGTACAGATGACTCTGACACAGACGTACAGATGTGTCTGACACAGACGTACAGATGACCCTGACACAGACGTACAGATGACTCTGACACAGACGTACAGATGACCCTGACACAGACGTACAGATGACCCTGACACAGACGTACAGATGACTCTAACACAGACGTACAGATGACTCTGACACAGACGTACAGATGAGTCTGACACAGACGTACAGATGACTCTGACACAGACGTACAGATGAGTCTGACACAGACGTACAGATGACTCTGACACAGACGTACAGATGACCCTGACACAGACGTACAGATGACCCTGACACAGACGTACAGATGACCCTGACACAGACGTACAGATGACCCTGACACAGACGTACAGATGACCCTGACACAGACGTACAGATGAGTCTGACACAGACGTACAGATGACTCTGACACAGACGTACAGATGACTCTGACACAGACGTACAGATGACTCTGACACAGACGTACAGATGAGTCTGACACAGACGTACAGATGACTCTGACACAGACGTACAGATGACCCTGACACAGACGTACAGATGAGTCTGACACAGACGTACAGATGACCCTGACACAGACGTACAGATGAGTCTGACACAGACGTACAGATGACTCTGACACAGACGTACAGATGACTCTGACACAGACGTACAGATGACTCTGACACAGACGTACAGATGAGTCTGACACAGACGTACAGATGACCCTGACACAGACGTACAGATGACTCTGACACAGACGTACAGATGACTCTGACACAGACGTACAGATGACTCTGACACAGACGTACAGATGACTCTGACACAGACGTACAGATGACTCTGACACAGACGTACAGATGACCCTGACACAGACGTACAGATGAGTCTGACACAGACGTACAGATGACTCTGACACAGACGTACAGATGACTCTGACACAGACGTACAGATGACCCTGACACAGACGTACAGATGACTCTGACACAGACGTACAGATGACTCTTACACAGACGTACAGATGACCCTGACACAGACGTACAGATGACTCTGACACAGACGTACAGATGACCCTGACACAGACGTACAGATGACTCTGACACAGACGTACAGATGACTCTGACACAGACGTACAGATGACTCTGACACAGACGTACAAATGACTCTGACACAGACGTACAGATGACTCTGACACAGACCTACAGATGACTCTGACACAGACGTACAGATGACTCTGACACAGACGTACAGATGACTCTGACACAGACGTACAGATGAGTCTGACACAGACGTACAGATGACTCTGACACAGACGTACAGATGACTCTGACACAGACGTACAGATGACCCTGACACAGACGTACAGATGACCCTGACACAGACGTACAGATGACCCTGACACAGACGTACAGATGACTCTGACACAGACGTACAGATGACCCTGACACAGACGTACAGATGACCCTGACACAGACGTACAGATGACCCTGACACAGACGTACAGATGACTCTGACACAGACGTACAGATGACTCTGTATGACTCTGACACAGACGTACAGATGACCCTGACACAGACGTACAGATGAGTCTGACACAGACGTACAGATGACTCTGACACAGACGTACAGATGACTCTGACACAGACGTACAGAGGACTCTGACACAGACGTACAGATGACTCTGACACAGACGTACAGATGACTCTGACACAGACGTACAGATGAGTCTGACACAGACGTACAGATGACTCTGACACAGACGTACAGATGACTCTGACACAGACGTACAGATGACCCTGACACAGACGTACAGATGACCCTGACACAGACGTACAGATGAGTCTGACACAGACGTACAGATGACTCTGACACAGACGTACAGATGACTCTGACACAGACGTACAGATGACTCTGACACAGACGTACAGATGACTCTTACACAGACGTACAGATGACCCTGACACAGACGTACAGATGACTCTGACACAGACGTACAGATGACCCTGACACAGACGTACAGATGACTCTGACACAGACGTACAGATGACTCTGACACAGACGTACAGATGACTCTGACACAGACGTACAAATGACTCTGACACAGACGTACAGATGACTCTGACACAGACGTACAGATGACTCTGACACAGACCTACAGATGACTCTGACACAGACGTACAGATGACTCTGACACAGACGTACAGATGACTCTGACACAGACGTACAGATGAGTCTGACACAGACGTACAGATGACTCTGACACAGACGTACAGATGACTCTGACACAGACGTACAGATGACCCTGACACAGACGTACAGATGACCCTGACACAGACGTACAGATGAGTCTGACACAGACGTACAGATGACTCTGACACAGACGTACAGATGAGTCTGACACAGACGTACAGATGACCCTGACACAGACGTACAGATGACCCTGACACAGACGTACAGATGACCCTGACACAGACGTACAGATGACTCTGACACAGACGTACAGATGACTCTGTATGACTCTGACACAGACGTACAGATGACCCTGACACAGACGTACAGATGAGTCTGACACAGACGTACAGATGACTCTGACACAGACGTACAGATGACTCTGACACAGACGTACAGAGGACTCTAACACAGACGTACAGATGACTCTGACACAGACGTACAGATGAGTCTGACACAGACGTACAGATGACCCTGACACAGACGTACAGATGAGTCTGACACAGACGTACAGATGACTCTGACACAGACGTACAGATGACTCTGACACAGACGTACAGATGACTCTGACACAGACGTACAGATGACTCTGACACAGACGTACAGATGAGTCTGACACAGACGTACAGATGACCCTGACACAGACGTACAGATGACTCTGACACAGACTGACACAGACTGACACAGACGTACAGATGACTCTGACACAGACGTACAGATGACTCTGACACAGACGTACAGATGACTCTGACACAGACGTACAGATGACTCTGACACAGACGTACAGATGACTCTGACACAGACGTACAGATGACTCTGACACAGACGTACAGATGACTCTGACACAGACGTACAGATGACTCTGACACAGACGTACAGATGACTCTGACACAGACGTACAGATGACCTGACACAGACGTACAGATGACCTGACACAGACGTACAGATGACTCTGACACAGACGTACGAAGACGAGATGACTCTGACACAGACACAGAGACGTACGAGCAGATGACTCTGACACAGACGTACAGATGACTCTGACACAGACGTACAGATGACTCTGACACAGACGTACAGATGACTCTGACACAGACGTACAGATGACTCTGACACAGACGTACAGATGACTCTGACACAGACGTACAGATGACTCTGACACAGACGTACAGATGACTCTGACACAGACGTACAGATGACTCTGACACAGACGTACAGATGACCCTGACACAGACGTACAGATGACTCTGACACAGACGTACAGATGACCCTGACACAGACGTACAGATGACTCTGACACAGACGTACAGATGACTCTGACACAGACGTACAGATGACCCTGACACAGACGTACAGATGACTCTGACACAGACGTACAGATGACCCTGACACAGACGTACAGATGACTCTGACACAGACGTACAGATGACTCTGACACAGACGTACAGATGACCCTGACACAGACGTACAGATGACCCTGACACAGACGTACAGATGACTCTGACACAGACGTACAGATGACTCTGACACAGACGTACAGATGACCCTGACACAGACGTACAGATGACTCTGACTTGGACACGTGTGACAGACGTCCTGTTGCCGCTCCGGGCCTCGCACACGTACACGCCCACGTCTGCCTCCGTCACGTTGGTCACGACCAGATCTGACACGGTTTGGTTCAGAACGGCCTCAGATCCGAGTTTGTGCAAAGAGACGGAGGCCGCGGGGAAACTGTCCACGGAGCAGGTCAGAGCCAGGACCCCGCCCTCCTCCACCTCTGTGTCCCCCACCACCACGGGGGCCGCGAGGTCTGGAAGCACAGGCCACAGACTGTATTAGGCTAACGCATGTGCAGTTATGTAGTGGTGCAGTTGTGTGTTGTGTAGTGGTGCAGTTGTGTGTTGTGTAGTGGTGCAGTTGTGTGTTGTGTAGTTGTGTGTTGTGTAGTTGTGTAGTTGTGTGTTGTGTAGTGGTGCAGTTGTGTGTTGTGTAATGGTGCAGTTGTGTGTTATGTAGTTGTGTGTTGTGTAGTGGTGCAGTTGTGTGTTGTGTAATGGTGCAGTTGTGTGTTGTGTAGTTGTGTAGTTGTGTGTTGTGCAGTTGTGTGTTGTGTAGTTGTGTGTTGTGTAGTGGTGCAGTTGTGTGTTGTATAGTTGTGTGTTGTGTAGTTGTGCAGTTGTGTGTTGTGTAGTTGTGTGTTGAGTAGTTGTGCAGTTGTGTGTTGTGTAGTTGTATGTTGTGTGTTGTGTAGTTGTGTGATGTGTGTTGTGTAGTTGTGTGATGTGTGTTGTGTAGTGGTGCAGTTGTGTGTTGTGTAGTTGTGTAGTGGTGCAGTTGTGTGTTGTGTTGTTGTGTAGTGGTGCAGTTGTGTGTTGTGTAGTTGTGTAGTGGTGCAGTTGTGTGTTGTGTAGTGGTGCAGTTGTGTGTTGTGTAGTTGTGTGATGTGTGTTGTGTAGTTGTGTGATGTGTGTTGTGTAGTGGTGCAGTTGTGTGTTGTGTAGTTGTGTAGTGGTGCAGTTGTGTGTTGTGTAGTTGTGTAGTGGTGCAGTTGTGTGTTGTGTAGTGGTGCAGTTGTGTGTTGTGTAGTTGTGTAGTGGTGCAGTTGTGTGTTGTGTAGTGGTGCAGTTGTGTGTTGTGTTGTTGTATAGTGGTGGAGCTGTGTGTTGTGTAATTGTGTAGTGGTGCAGTTGTGTGTTGTGTAGTTGTGTAGTGGTGCAGTTGTGTGTTGTGTAGTGGTGCAGTTGTGTGTTGTGTTGTTGTATAGTGGTGGAGCTGTGTGTTGTGTAATTGTGTAGTGGTGCAGTTGTGTGTTGTGTAGTTGTGTAGTGGTGCAGTTGTGTGTTGTGTTGTTGTGTAGTGGTGCAGTTGTGTGTTGTGTAGTGGTGCAGTTGTGTGTTGTGTTGTTGTATAGTGGTGGAGCTGTGTGTTGTGTAGTTGTGTAGTGGTGCAGTTGTGTAATTGTGTAGTGGTGCAGTTGTGTGTTCTGTAGTTGTGTGTTGTGACGTACAAAACACTTGTATGTCCAGGTGTGATGTCACAGTCCTGAGCTGATGTCGAGCTGTGCAGATATATTTCCCAGCATCCTCTGGGCCCACATGGTCCAGGACCAGACTGACTGATCCAGACCCAGTCTGGTCCAGACCAGACTCAGGTCCAGACTCAGGTCCAGACTCAGGTCCAGACTCAGATCCATCTTTTCTCAGAGTGACGTTAGACGGTGGGAAACTGTCCACGGAGCAGGACACATTCAGGAAGTCTCCCTCGTCCACCGCGGCGTCTGCCACAAACACCATTCATCCACAAAATAAATGGTGGTAAATTATTGCAAATTATGGTAAATTATGGTAAATTATGGTAAATTATGGTAAATTATGGTACATTATGGTACATTATGGTACATTATGGTACATTATGGTACATTTCCAGGAAGTTTCAAAATCAATTTCATGAAACATACGTTTTTGGAAATATACAACAACTGGGAATGAATGTAAAGTAATTCAACTGTGTCATATCCAAGAACTAATCTATATCAGTGACATGGCTAGCATAAAGCTACACTTCAATATGGAGGTGAGGCTTATAACCAGGTGCGGCTTATATGTGACAGTATTGATTTTCTTTTCAAATGTAGAGGTGAGGCTTAAAACCAGGTGCGGCTTATATGTGACAATATGGATTTTCTTTTCAAATGTAGAGGTGAGGCTTAAAACCAGGTGCGGCTTATATGTGACAATATGGATTTTCTTTTCAAATGTAGAGGTGAGGTTTATAACCAGGTAAGGCTTATATGTGACAGTATTGATTTTCTTTTCAAATGTAGGGGTGAGGTTTATAACCAGGTGCGGCTTATATGTGACAGTATTGATTTTCTTTTCAAATGTAGGGGTGAGGTTTATAACCAGGTAAGGCTTATATGTGACAGTATTGGTTTTCTTTTCAAATGTAGAGGTGAGGTTTATAACCAGGTAAGGCTTATATGTGACTAGATCTGAACAAGATGGCGCCTCGTACGGTCGACATGGCTCTTTGCTGCTCTCTTTTTCTTTTGTTTTTACTTTTTAACTGTGCATCTGGCTGTTCCTACACCCGTGAGGAACTTATGAACATCCGACCCACCGTTCCCATGGACCTATTGCCTGTTTTCTTGGCATCTGCGGCTGATTTAGTTCATGTTCTAGCCAAAAAAGTGTGGGCCCGTAAAAGGGGAAAGCGAGGAGGCCTGCTCGTGCGTCTGAGGAGGAGAGGAGCCTCTCCCCGGCATTTTTCTGTCCAACGTACGCTCACTGGGCAATAAGATGGACGAACTCAGCCTGCTCATGAGAAGAAACAAGGACTTCATCCTGTGTCCTCTGCTTCACTGAGACCTGGCTAAATGAGCGGATCCCGGACTGCGCTCTGGAGCTGCAGGGCTTTGGGCTGTTCCACACGGATCGCCATTGTGCGCTCTCAGGGAAGAGCAGAGGCGGAGGGCTGTGTTTCTACGTCAATACAAACTGGTGTAACCATGTGACAGTGATCTCCAAGCACTGCTCTCCTGCTCTGGAATATCTTTTCATTCATTGTAAACCATATTACTCCCCGCGGGAAATTGTTTCATTCATTCTTGCCTCTGTTTACATACCGCCATGCGCGGAAGCGCGAGGCTCAGCGCGCACTCGCAGAGCAAGTACTGTGTATGGAACGCTTATACCCGGACTCTCTGATTATTATCCTGGGGGATTTTAATAAGGGAAACTTGAGCCAGGAATTACCCAAATACAGACAGTTTATCAAATGCCCGACCAGAGAGGAGAACACTCTGGATCACTGTTACACCACCGTGCGCGGAGCTTTTCACGCTGTTCCCAAGCCAGCCCTCGGCTTCTCAGATCACTCCATGATACATCTGGTTCCTGCTTACAGACAGAGACTAAAGCTCTCGAAACCTGCAGTGAGGAGCTCCAAAGTGTGGTCTGATGAAGCTGTGGAAGAGCTGCATGCATGGAATCTACAGACTGGGACCTTTTCAGAGCTGCCACAGATAGTTTGGATGAATATACGGACACTGTGACGTCATACATTCACTTCTGTGAGGATAGCATCATTCCAACAAGGACCAGGGTCATCTATAACAACGACAAACCCTGGTTCACTGCTAAACTCCGGCAGCTCAGGAAAGCAAAGGAGTCTGCTTTCAGGGAGGGGGACCGCAGCGGCTACAAAGCAGCTAAATATCAGTTCAGGAAAGAACTGAAAGCAGCCAAGTCCCGGCACAGAGAACGACTACAGGAGCAGTTTGGTAACAACGATACTGCTTCTGTCTGGAGGGGCCTACGGGAGATCACCAACTACAAACCCAAAGCCCCCCCCTGTGCTGACGACCACAAGCTAGCTGACGAACTGAACTTATTTTTCAGTCGCTTTGATGCTGCCCCTGACACCTCTCCCTCCCCCACCCCCCACTACTCTAACGACCCACCCATCAGCCCTGCCCCCAGCCTGACAATAGCCGCTAAAGAGATTAAACAACTCTTCCTGAGGCTGCACCCCCGCAAAGCTCCTGGCCCGGACCACGTGTCTCCGGCCACTCTGAGACACTGCGCCAGTGAGCTTACTCCTGTGTTCACGGACATTTTCAACACCTCTCTGCAGTCCTGCCATGTCCCGGCCTGCTTCAAATCCTCCATCATTGTCCCCGTCCCGAAGAAGCCCAGGATCACAGGACTCAATGACTACAGACCTGTAGCACTTACGTCTGTCGTCATGAAGTCATTTGAACGCCTGGTTCTCTCCCATCTCAAGTCCCTCACCTCCCCCCTCCTGGACCCCCTGCAGTTCGCCTACAGAGCCAACAGATCTGTAGACGACGCCATTAACCTGGCCCTCCACCACATCCTACAGCACCTGGACTCCCCGGGGACCTACGCCAGGGTCCTGTTCGTGGACTTCAGCTCTGCCTTCAACACAATCCTGCCATCCCTGCTCCAGGACAAGCTCTCCCAGCTCAACGTGCCCGATTCCACCTGCAGGTGGATCACTGACTTCCTGACGGACAGGAAGCAGCGAGTGCGTCTGGGGAAGAATGTCTCGGACTCTCGGATTATAAATACAGGAGCCCCACAGGGCTGTGTTCTTTCTCCCCTGCTCTTCTCCCTGTACACCAACCACTGCACCTCCAGCCACGACTCCGTGAAGCTGATCAAGTTCGCGGACGACACCACCCTCATTGGACTCATCTCCAACAACGATGAGTCCGCCTACAGGAGGGAGGTGGACCGGCTGGTGTCCTGGTGCAGTGGTAACAACCTGGAGCTGAACGCCCAGAAGACAGTGGAGATGATTGTGGACTTCAGGAAGAGCACTGTCCCCCCGCCCCCACCCTCCCTGATGGACTCCCCCATCACCTCTGTGGAGTCCTTCCGTTTCCTGGGCACCACCATCACCCAGGACCTCAAGTGGGAGCCGACCATCAGCTCCCTCATCAAGAAGGCCCAGCAGAGGATGTACTTCCTGCGGCAGCTCAGGAAAGCCAAGCTGCCTGCACAGATGTTGGTGCAGTTCTACACGGCCATCATCGAGTCCATCCTCACCTCCTCCATCACCGTGTGGTTCGCTGGAGCCACAGTCAGGGACAAACAGAGACTACAGCGCATTGTGCGCTCTGCAGAGGAAGTGATCGGCCGCAGCCTTCCATCGCTGCAGGACCTGTACGTCGCCCGAGCTCGAGGCCGGGCTGGTCGTATCACAGCCGACCCCTCTCACCCTGCACATGGACTATTCCAACCACTCCCCTCAGGCAGGAGGCTGCGGTCCATCAGGACTAGAACCTCCCGCCACAAGAAACAGTTTCTTCCCCTCTGCTGTTGGACTCTTGAACACTTCGTAACCTGTCCCCCCGCCCTTTATAAAGTCACTTTACTGCCCATCATACGTCACTTTACTTCACTGTACTGCTGTCACCTTACATTGTGTGCACCATGTGCACTTGTATATTGTAAATAGTAACTGTAACTCTATTTTAAATTTAAATTTATTCTTTAGAAGTGTTTTTTATTCTTATTTTTATTATCTCTTTTTGACTGTTGCACTGAGCCAAAGCAATTTCCAAGTCTGTGACCTCCTGTTACTTACGTGGCAATAAAAATGATTCTGATTCTGATTCTGATGTGACAGTATTGATTTTCTTTTCAAATGTAGGGGTGAGGTTTATAACCAGGTAAGGCTTATATGTGACAGTATTGATTTTCTTTTCAAATGTAGAGGTGAGGTTTATAACCAGGTGCGGCTTATATGTGACAGTATTGGTTTTCTTTTCAAATGTAGGGGTGAGGTTTATAACCAGGTGCGGCTTATACAGTTGGCCAATCATGAGCAGCTGTGACTCACATGTGACGTTGAGAGTCAGCGTGTCGTGTGTCGTCTGATTGGTCTGAAAAGCGACTGAACACGTGAGTTCTGCTCCGTGAAGCTCCGCTGAAGGAGTCAGCTGCAGAATGGAGCTGTGATTGACAGCCTGTGTGGTTGTCGTGGTGACGGGGGGCGGGTCCTTCCCTCCTGTTCCTCTCCAGCTCCATGTGATGATGGGCTCAGATCCAGAGCAGAGTCCAGGAGCCGAGCAGGAGACCGAGGCCAAGTGTCCGTCTGAGAGAGGAGGGGCCTGCAGGGAGGGCCTCTGCTGGAGAGCTAACACACACATATATTTATATACATACACATGTATACGCACATACACACACACACACATACATATACAAATACACACACATACACACTTATATAGTGCATTGTGGGGACTCACGTGTTACAGAGAGCTCTGTTTTACGGCTGAATGTGAATCCTTCTCTGTCACTATTGACTCGGAGCTGATAGGATCCTGAGTCTGAGAGACGCAGGTCGTTGATGACGATGCTGCAGTTTCTGTGGCTCAGATCTGGATCCAGCAGCGACACTCGTCCTGAGAAACTGGACTGAACCTTCTCTGAGTTTCTGGAGTGGAATATTTTGTCAGAACATTTGGAGCCTCGACATTTGAACCAGACCAGACTCGAGGGGTTAAAGATTAAAGGGGGATAGAAAGCACAGGGAAGGACCGCACAGAGTCCAGCCTCCGCCGTCACCTCGTGTTTACTGAGACGAACACAAAAGCTACTTTGACAAGAGAACACTAACTCCGGCGGATCTGTAGGAGAAGAAACAACATCATTATATTGTGCTAAAGCCTGCCTTAAAGCTGGGGTACCTAACTTTACCACCACAAAGATGTATGATATATAATCCATATGTATGATTCATCTCTGTGGGAGGACTGTTGTGACTGAATACATGCCCCACTCTTCCATGCATCCAGTTTCTTCCACTTTATCCATTGCTCATAGCAGCTCATCTGGGGACCCTCTGTGTCTCCTCCTGGTCTCCTCCTTGGCTCCTCCTGGGCTCCTCCTAGTCTCCTCCTGGGCTCCTCCTGGGCTCCTCCTAGTCTCCTCCTGGTCTCCTCCTGGGCTCCTCCTAGTCTCCTCCTGGTCTCCTCCTGGGCTCCTCCTGGTCACTGAGCTGCTCTATCTCTAAGGGAGCAGCAGCTCTACTCCGAGCTCCTCCCTTGTCACTGAGCTCCTCTATCTCTAAGGGAGCAGCGGCTCTACTCTGAGCTCCTCCCCTGTCACTGAGCTCCTCTATCTCTAAGGGAGCAGCCATTCTGCGGAGGAAGCTTAATTTGACGCTTGTTTCTGCCATCAGCCAATCAGCTCTCAGAGAGGACCAGCCTCTCTCAGCCAATCAGCTCTCAGAGAGGACCAGCCTCTCTCAGCCAATCAGCTCTCAAAGAGGACCAGCCTCTCTCAGCCAATCAGCTCTCAGAGAGGACCAGCCTCTCTCAGCCAATCAGCTCTCAGAGAGGACCAGCCTCTCTCAGCCAATCAGCTCTCAGAGAGGACCAGCCTCTCTTAGCCAATCAGCTCTCAGAGAGGACCAGCCTCTCTCAGCCAATCAGCTCTCAGAGAGGACCAGCCTCTCTCAGCCAATCAGCTCTCAGAGAGGACCACCCTCTCTCAGCCAATCAGCTCTCAGAGAGGACCAGCCTCTCTCAGCCAATCAGCTCTCAGAGAGGACCAGCCTCTCTTAGCCAATCAGCTCTCAGAGAGGACCAGCCTCTCAGCCAATCAGCTCTCAGAGAGGACCAGCCTCTCTCAGCCAATCAGCTCTCAGAGAGGACCAGCCTCTCTCAGCCAATCAGCTGTCAGAGAGGACCAGCCTCTCAGCCAATCAGGTCTCAGAGAGAGAACTATTGCATGTATCTACTCAGGTAAAGGCAGCGTTACTCGTCAGATTAGTTCATGTTTCACAAGACTCTGAAGGGACAAAGACAAAGTAATCTTTATGGAAAAGTCAGGGACCCCAGCTTTAATATTGACTGTATTTGAACAGAAAAGACAAACCTGCAACAGCCCAACGCTGCAGAGAAAAGAGAATCAGGAGAAAGACCATGGTTTCAGAGACTGTGGAGAAACACAGGAAGTTCATATGAGGAAGTGTGTGTGTGTGTGTGTGTGTGTGTGTGTGTGTGTGTGTGTGTGTGTGTGTGTGTGTGTGTGTGTGTGTGTGTGTGTGTGTGTGTGTGTGTGTGTGTGTCTGTGTGTGTGTGTGTGTGTGTGTGTGTGTGTGTGTGTGTGTGTGTGTGTGTCTGTGTGTGTGTGTGTGTGTCTGTGTGTGTGTCTGTCTTTGTGTGTGTGTGTGTGTGTCTGTGTGTGTGTGTGTGTCTGTGTGTGTGTGTCTGTCTGTGTGTGTGTCTCTGTATGTGTGTGTGTGTGTGTGTGTGTGTGTGTCTGTGTGTGTGTGTGTGTGTGTGTCTGTGTGTGTGTGTCTGTCTGTGTGTGTGTGTGTGCGTCTGTGTGTGTCTGTGTGTGTGTGTCTCTGTGTGTGTGTTTGTGTGTGTGTGTGTGTCTGTGTCTGTGTGTGTGTGTGCGTTTGTGTGTTTTTCCAAGTTGCAAAACGTCCAGTGACAATATTTTGAAAGGCATTTTTGGTAAAATAAAACAGAAACTGGGAAAACTTAAAGAATCCAAATGTATAAGTTTATAATATAAAAATATATATAAATATATAATATATATATATATATATATATATATATATATTTTTTTTTTTATATATATATATATATATATAAATATATATATATATATATATATATTTATATATATAAATATATGAATATATATATATATATATATATATATATACATATAAATATATAAAGTCTTGCCAGATTTAACTAAGACCTGTTCAACAATAACATTTTATAAATTATACTAAAGGCAGCGATAAATACATTCACCCAGAGTCAGTACCTGTGATCCTTCATGAAGCTGCTCTCTGTACGGTACCTTTGATCATCCATGAAGCTGCTCTCTGTACGGTACCTTTGATCATCCATGAAGCTGCTCTCTGTACGGTACCTTTGATCATCCCATGAAGCTGCTCTCTGTACGGTACCTGTGATCATCCATGAAGCTGCTCTCTGTACGGTACCTGTGATCATTCATGAAGCTGTTCTCTGTACGGTACCTTTGATCATCCATGAAGCTGCTCTCTGTACGGTACCTTTGATCATCCATGAAGCTGCTCTCTGTACGGTACCTGTGATCATCCATGAAGCTGCTCTCTGTACGGTACCTGTGATCATCCATGAAGCTGCTCTCTGTACCGGTACCTGTGATCATCCATGAAAGCTGCTCTCTGTACGGTACCTGTGATCATCATGAAGCTGCTCTCTGTACGGTACCCGTTTGATATCCATGAAGCTGCTCTCTGTACGGTACCTTTGATCATCCATGAAGCTGCTCGCTGTACGGTCCTTTGATCCATGAAAGTCTGCTCTAGTACGGTACCTTTGATCTTCAGGCTAAGCTATTTGTTCTCATGTACGGTACCTGTGATCATCCATGAAGCTGCTCTCTGTACGGTACCTTTGATCATCCATGAAGCAGCTCTCTGTACGGTACCTGTGATCATCCATGAAGCTGCCTCTCTGTACGGTACCTTTGATCATCCAGAAGCTGCTCTCTGTACGGTACCTTTGATAATCCATGAAGCTGCTCTCTGTACGGTACCTTTGATTCATCCATGAAGCTGCTCTCTGTACGGTACCTTTGGATCATCCATGAAGCTGCTCTCTGTACGGGTTACCTGTGAATTATCCATGCCAAAGCTGCTCTCTGTACGGTACCTTTGATCATCCATGAAGCTGCTCTCTGTACGGTACCTTTGATCATGCCATGAAGCTGCTCTCTGTACGGTACCTGTGATCATCCATGAAGCTGCTCTCTGTACGGTACCTTTGATCATCCATGAAGCTGCTCGCTGTACGGTACCTTTGATCATCCATGAAGCTGCTCTCTGTACGGTACCTTTGATCATCCATGAAGCTGCTCTCTGTCGGTACCTGTGATCATTCATGAACTGTTCTCTGTAACGGTCCTTTGATCATCCTTGAAAGCTGCTCTCTGTACGGTACCTTGATCATCATGAAGCTGCTCTCTGTACGGTACCTTTGATAATCTTAAGTAGTCTTATTAGTCACCAACAAACTATTTGTAAACACTCTCTCTCACTTTGAATCGGCTGTATGTACCTGAGGTCTGGGTGTTGTACCGGAGGTCCTGGGTTGTTGTACCTGAGGTCTGATTGTATTGTAACCTGTGATCTGAGTGTTATTGTACCTATGATCTGAGTGTATTGTACCTGTGATCTGAGTGTATTGTACCTATATCTGAGAGTATTGTACCTTTGATCTGAGTGTATTGTACCTATGGTTCTGGTGTATGTACCTGTGATCTGGAGTGTATTGTACCTATGATCTGAGTGTATTGTACCTATGATCTGAGTGCATTGTACTATGATCTGAGTGTATTGTACCTGTGATCTGAGTGTATTGTACCTATTTGGGGTGATCTCTGGAGTGTATTGTACCTATGATCTGGAGTGTATTGTACCTATGAATCTGGGTGTATTGTACCTATGATCTGGGTGTGTACCTTGTTCTGGTTGTATTGTACCTATGATCTGGTGTTTGCCCCGATGATCTGAGGTATTGTACTCATATCTGGGTGTATTGATCTGAACGTCCCTATGATCTGGGTGTATTGTACCTATGATCTGTATTTTGGTGTATTGTACAAACCTCTTTATGATCTGAGTGTATTGTACCTATGATCTGAGTGTATTGTACCTATGATCTGAGTGTATTGTACCTATGATCTGGGTGTATTGTACCTATGATTGAGTGTATTGTACCTATGATCTGGGTAGTATTGTACTTGATCTGGGTGTATTGTACCTATGATCTGAGTGTATGTACCTATGATATGGGTGTATGTACCTATGATCTGAGTGTATTGTACCTGTGATCTGAGTGTATTGTACCTATGATCTGAGTGTATTGTACCTATGATCTGGGTGTATATGTACCTATGATCTGAGATTGTGGTACTATGATCTGGTTGTATTGTACCTGTGATCTGAGTGTATGTTTGTATTGTACCTATGATCTGAGTGTATTGTACCTATGATCTGAGTGTATTGTGATCTGAGTATATTGATCTAATGATCTGAGTGTATTGTACCTATGATCTGGAGTGTGTATTGTACCTATGATCTGAGTGTATTGTACCTATGACCTGGGTGTATTGTACCTGTTGATCTGAGTGGTGTATTGTACCTATGATTCTGCGTGTATTGTACCAATGCTTGGGTGTATTTTTGTACCTATGATCTGGGTGTATTGTACCTATGATCTGAGTGTATTGTACCTATGATCTGAGTGTATTGTACCTATGATCTGAGTGTATTGTACTCTATGATCTTGTCTGATCAGAGTGTATTGTCCTCATGTTGGGTGTAGTACCTTGATCTGAGTGTATTGTACCTATGATCTGGGTGTATTGTCCCCTATGATCTGCGTGTAGTGTATATGTTCTGGGTGTTGTACCTAAGCCTGAGTGTATTGTACCTGTGATTTGAGTGTATTGTACCTATGATCTGAGTGTATTGTACCTATGATCTGGGTGTATTGTACCTATGATCTGAGTGTATTGTACCTATGATCTGAGTGTATTGTACCTATGATCTGGGTGTATTGTACCTATGATCTGAGTTGTATTGTACTATGATCTGAGTGTATTGTACCTATGATCTGGTGTATTGTACCTATGATCTGAGTGTATTGTACCTATGATCTGAGTGTATTGTACTATGATCTGAGTGTATTGTACTTTGATCTGACGTGTTTATTGTACCTATGTCTGAGTGTATTGTTACCTTGATCTGGGTGTTGTACTATGATCTGAGTGTATTGTACCTACTGATCTGGGTGTATTGTACCCTGTGATCTGAGTGTATTGTACCTATGATCTGAGTGTATTGTACCTATGATCTGGGTGTATTGTACCTATGATCTGAGTGTATTGTACCCTATGATCTGAGTGTATTGTACCTATGATCTGAAGGTGTATTGTACTATGATCTGAGTGTATGTTATGATTGAGGCTTGTATTGACCTATGATTGGGTGTTGTACCTATGATCTGAGTGTAATTGTACCTTTGATCTGGGTGTATGTGTATTGTACTGTGAGATGAGTGTATTTGTACCTATGCTACTGAGTGTTATTTAGTACACTATGATTGGGGTATTGTCACTTGATCTGAGAGTATTGTACCTATGATCTGAGTGTATTTTACCTATGATCTGGGTGACAAACCCCCCCCCCACCCCCCCCCCCACCCCCACCCTCTGATTGCGTGTTAATTGTACCTATGATCTGAGTGTATTGTACCTGAGGTACAGGACGTTTACCTTCAGTGAAGCAGGAGACGTGCGCGCGTCAACACAAGCCCAGCTTTCACTCTGTGTGGATTGCATTGTGAAAACACCACACACAAACACACACACACCACACCACCCCCCAACCCCACAACACCCACAAACACATCCCCCAACCCACCACCCCACCACCACACCCCCCAACACCCACACACCAACACACAACCACCCCCCCCCACCAAAAACACCACCAACCCCCACCCACCAACCCCCACCCCACACCCCACAACCCACCAAACACACACACCACACCAACCACCCCCCCAACCACCCCCCCCCCACCCCCCACCCCACACCCCCCCCCACCAAACACCCCCACCACCACCCACCACAACCCCCCACAAACCACACCCCCACACACCAACACCACACACACCCACCCCCAACCACACACCCACACACCCCCAAACACCCCACCCCCCACACCCACACCCCCACCCAACAACCCCCCCCACAACACAACACCCACACCCCACCACCCAAAACCACACCCCCCACACACCACACACAACCACCACAACCCCCACACCCCCCCCAACCCCACAACACACACCCCACCCCACAACCCAACCCCACACCCCTCACAAACCCACCACCAACACACCACTCCCCCACCCACCACCCCCCCACCACCCACCCCCCCAAAAACCCACCCCCCCACCACCCCCCACCCCCACAACCACCACCCCCACCCCAACCCCACCCCACACCCCACCCCCCACCCCACCCCACCACCACCCCCACCACCCACCCCCCCCAACCCCCCCCACCCCCCCCCCCCACCACCACACCACACCCCCAACACCCACCACCCACACCCAACACCACCACACCACACCACCCCCCCCACCCACACCCACACCCACCACACACACACACCCAACACCCCCCCCCCCACACACCCCACACACACACCACCCCACCCACACCACACACACCCCACACACACCCACACACCCCACACACACCACACACACACACCCACACACCCCACCCAACCCCCCCACCCCCCCCACCACCCCCCCCACCCCCACCCACCCACCCACCCACCACAACACCCCCCCACCCCCACCAACCACCCCAAACCCAACACACCCAAAAAACCCACCACACCCCCCACCCAAACCAACCCCAAACCACCAAAACACCCACCAACACCAACACAACCCAACACCCCACCACACCCACACCCACCCAACCCACACCAAACCCCACCACCCCAAACACACAACAAAACCCCCCACCCCACCCACACCCACCCCCACACCCACACACCCCCACACCAACACACCAACCACCCCCACACCCACCAACCCACACACCACACACACCACCCAAACAACACCCCCCAACACCAACAACAACCCAACCCCACAAAACCAAAACCCCCCACAACCCCACCCAACCCACCCCCACACACCCCCACACCCACCCCCACACAACCCCCCACACACCACACCCAACCACACCCACACCCCCACCCCCCCAACCCACCCCCCACCACCACCCACAACAACCCACCCAAACCAAACACCAAAACCAACACCACCCAACACACCACAAAAACCACAACCCCCCAACCACCCACACCCCCCCCACCCCACACCCCACCCACCACCACCAAAACAACCCACACACACACCAACAACACACCCCCACCCCCCCACACCACACCCCCCCCCCACCACAACCAACAACCACACCCCCCACCACCAACACACACCAAACACCACCACACACCCACCCACCCCCCACACACCACACACACAACACCACCCCCCCCCCCCCCCCCCCCCCCCCCCCCCCCCCCACCCCCCCCCCCCCCCCCCCCCCCCCCCCCC